AATTCATAAATTTGACCAATTTTACCTCAAATTTTCGACGTTATATTTCCTTTTGAAAGGCATATCTGTCCAATGTAAGAGTGGAAACGTGTTCTAGGGACCCTGAGGCCTCTTCCAAGCAAGTTTCAAGAAATTTCATTTTTCAGCCAAATTTGAAAAAAATGTAAGGGGTTAGCCTTACTTTTTTTTCAATTTTGGCCAAAAAAATGAATTTTTTCCAAACTACTCAGAAATGCATATTAAGGCTTTGGGATCACGATTTAATATTCAGACCGGCAAAATTGGCTCAATTTTGGCTGAAATTGTGTCATTATTGGGAACAAAAATCATAAATTTGATCAATTTTACCTCAAATTTTCGACGTTATATTTCCTTTTGAAAGGCATATCTGTCCAATGTAAGAGTGGAAACGTGTTCTAGGGACCCTGAGGCATCTTCCCAGCAAGTTTCAAGAAATTTCATTTTTCAGCCAAATTTGAAAAAAATGTAAGGGGTTAGGCTTACTTTTTTTTCAATTTTGGCCAAAAAATGAATTTTCTCCAAACTACTCAGAAATGCATATTAAGGCTTTGGGATCACGATTTAATATTCAGACCGGCAAAATTGGCTGAATTTCGGCTGAAATTGTGGCATTATTGGGAACAAAAATCATAAATTTGACCAATTTTACCTCAAATTGTGGACGTTATATTTCCTTTTGAAAGGCATATCTGTCCAATGTAAGAGTGGAAACGTGTTCTAGGGACCCTGAGGCATCTTCCCAGCAAGTTTCAAGAAATTTCATTTTTCAGCCAAATTTGAAAAAAATGTAAGGGGTTAGCCTTCCTTTTTTTTCAATTTTGGCCAAAAAATGAATTTTCTCCAAACTACTCAGAAATGCATATAAAGGCTTTGGTATCACGATTTAATATTCAGACCGGCAAATTGGCTCAATTTCGGCTGAAATTGTGGCATTATTGGGAACAAAAATCATAAATTTGACCAATTTTACCTCAAATTGTGGACGTTAAATTTCCTTTCGAAAGGCATATCTGTCCAATGTAAGAGTGGAAACGTGTTCTAGGGACCCTGAGGCCTCTTCCAAGCAAGTTTCAAGAAATTTCATTTTTCAGCCAAATTTGAAAAAAATGTAAGGGGTTAGCCTTACTTTTTTTTCAATTTTGGCCAAAAAATGAATTTTTTCCAAACTACTCAGAAATGCATATTAAGGCTTTGGGATCACGATTTAATATTCAGACCGGCAAAATTGGCTCAATTTTGGCTGAAATTGTGTCATTATTGGGAACAAAAATCATAAATTTGACCAATTTTACCTCAAATTTTCGACGTTATATTTCCTTTTGAAAGGCATATCTGTCCAATGTAAGAGTGGAAACGTGTTCTAGGGACCCTGAGGCATCTTCCCAGCAAGTTTCAAGAAATTTCATTTTTCAGCCAAATTTGAAAAAAATGTAAGGGGTTAGCCTTACTTTTTTTTCAATTTTGGCCAAAAAATGAATTTTCTCCAAACTACTCAGAAATGCATATTAAGGCTTTGGGATCACGATTTAATATTCAGACCGGCAAAATTGGCTCAATTTCGGCTGAAATTGTGGCATTATTGGGAACAAAAATCATAAATTTGACCAATTTTACCTCAAATTGTGGACGTTATATTTCCTTTTGAAAGGCATATCTGTCCAATGTAAGAGTGGAAACGTGTTCTAGGGACCCTGAGGCATCTTCCCAGCAAGTTTCAAGAAATTTCATTTTTCAGCCAAATTTGAAAAAAATGTAAGGGGTTAGCCTTACTTTTTTTTCAATTTTGGCCAAAAAATGAATTTTCTCCAAACTACTCAGAAATGCATATAAAGGCTTTGGGATCACGATTTAATATTCAGACCGGCAAAATTGGCTAAATTTGTGCCGAAATTGTGGCATTATTGGTTAAAAAATTCATAAATTTGACCAATTTTACCTCAAATTTTCGACGTTATATTTCCTTTTGAAAGGCATATCTGTCCAATGTAAGAGTGGAAACGTGTTCTAGGGACCCTGATGCATCTTCCCAGCAAGTTGCAAGAAATTTCATTTTTCAGCCAACTTTGAAAAAAATGTAAGGGGTTAGCCTTACTTTTTTTCAATTTTTGCCAAAAAATGAATTTTCTCCAAACTACTCAGTAATGCATAATAAGGTGTTGGGATCACGATTTAATATTTAGACCGGCAAAATTGGCTAAATTTTGGCCGGAATTGTGGCATTATTGGGAAAAAAAATCATAAATTTGACCAATTTTACCTCAAATTTTCGACGTTATATTTCCTTTTGAAAGGCATATCTGTCCAATGTAAGAGTGGAAACGTGTTCTAGGGACCCTGAGGCATCTTCCCAGCAAGTTTCAAGAAATTTCATTTTTCAGCCAAATTTGAAAAAAAATGTAAGGGGTTAGCCTTACTTTTTTTTCAATTTTGGCCAAAAAATGAATTTTCTCCAAACTACTCAGCAATGCATATTAAGGCTTTGGGAACACGGTTTAATATTCAGACCGGCAAAATTGGCTAAATTATGGCCGAAATTGTGGCATTATTGTGAAAAAAATTCATAAATTTGACCAATTTTACCTCAAATTTTCGACGTTATATTTCCTTTTGAAAGGCATATCTGTCCAATGTAAGAGTGGAAACGTGTTCTAGGGACCCCGAGGCATCTTCCCAGCAAGTTTCAAGAAATTTAATTTTTCAGCCAAATTTGAAAAAAAAATGTAAGGGGTTTATAGCCTTACTTTTTTGTCAATTTTGGCCAAAAAATTAATTTTCTCCAAATTACTCAGAAATGCATATCGTATATTTGACCTATTTTACCTCAAATTTCGGACGTTATAATAAAATTATTAGGGGAAAAAAGATAAATTTGACGTTTTCCACACAATTTTTGACGCATTCTTTTTTCCTTTGAAAGTCACATTTGTCCAGTATATAGAGTAGGACCGTGTTTTATAGACTCTGGTGCATCTTTTTAGCAAGTTTGAAGAAATTTTATTTTTCATCAAAATTATGAAAAAATGTAAGGGGTAAACCTTACTTTTTTGATGAATTTGGCCCAAAAATTGACTTTTCTTCAAAATACTCAGAAATGCTTTTTGAGGCATGAGAACCATGTTTCAATATTCAAACATGTAAATTTGCACGATCTTGGCCAAAAAATTGAAAATATTATGAGAAAATTCAGATTTTTTCCCCCTAACTTTTTCTTAATAACATGCACAATTGCAAAACCTCGCCGTTTGTCTATAAAGTTTAACTTCTCTATAAATTACGCCGATAATAAAAGTTTTTAATCAAAATACTGATGCACATTCAAATACTTTTTTTGAGCTTTTATATACATATATACATTATGTTTTAGGAAAAAAACTGACATTAATTACATTAATTGCCAAATACTGACAACTCATATTCTGAACTTAAATTGTACCTTCTGTCTTTTTCCTATTTACAAAAGATAATGTGTTGGCTTAATTATTATATTCTCCTTTTTGAAATACAGTTCGTCTTGCTGGGATTTGGTAATCCAAAATTTAGTGAGTAACTTTCAAAACCAAGTTGAAGTTTTGAATTTTTAAAACCCTGCAAGAATGACATCATTCTTCAGTAACCTTGTGTGAAAAAACGCGAGGGTAATTGCATATACCGGTTATTTTTTTAACCTTTTTACTGCGGTGCCCGATTTACGTTTTTGTCCACAAGGCGTCTATTCGAGAACAAACTGTGTCCCCCAGAGCCGTTCTTTCCATGAGGTCTAGAGCTGAGACATGCATTGCCTTGCAGGGTTGCCAAGTAGAGGGCAGAGATGCAATTGTGTGGACAATGAAGGACACAGTAACTATAGTATAGCCCAGAGAAACGTTGCCTAGTCATTAATAAGTGAAACAGAAAATAATGCTTGAGCTAAGGTTAAGTCAGTTTTAAATCTGTGTTGTCTCTAATGTCTTTATTGTACCGCAAATTGGGCACCGCAGTACAAAGGTTCACAAAGGACAAACGGTAAATGCGATTAACTTTAGTTTTTCACGCAAGGTTATCAACGAATATGTCATTCTTACAAAACCTCAACTTGGTTTTGACAAAAAAATGGAATCCCTGCATTATTGCAGTTTTTCTGACTCACCCTACACAACATAATTCCTAATGTGTGAACTACTCACAATTTTAAAAGGGAAGAAAATAGTTTCACCAACGCAGCATTCACCCGTAAGAACTACCATCAGCAATCATTTAAACAATACTTGTTTAAATTATTTCTCAATTATTAAGAAATATTTTAAAATAATAACCACCACCAAAAGTTTCCATCACCTTTTAATAAAGTAAAAATATAAAAAAGCAAATTAAGCTTATGCAAGTTTAAACATGTTCATTTACCTCATGAAATGAAGAATTAAACTGATAAAGCTTTTTTCCCTGAAAACAAACATACCAAAATTATCAGTGAAAACTTTATGCATGGACACAGTAACATTGAGCGCCATGATGGAAAATATTGCTTCTTAAAAATTCAACTTTAAAGTAGCCAAAAACACATTTTATTCTTTTTGAAAGGCATATAGGATCGTTTGCTTTTCATGCATTTTTTGTTCGTTTCCAATAATGACCTTTCAAAATCCAAAGAAGAATGTTCAGAACCTAACCTGTTGAAGTTTCAGCTCAGTGGAAATTACACTTTTTCGAGAAAAAAAATGAAGAAAAAAAAACGGCATAACCGTTTGATCATGAGACATGATTTTGCAGCATTGCTTATGTTGCTAGCATCGTGACAAAATGAGGAACCACCAACATAGGGCTGGATAGCTCAGTTGGTAGAGCACCGGAACGGCAATCCGGAGGTTGCGGGTCCAAACCTTACTCCAGTCAATTTCTTTGATCAACGTAAAAAAAAAAAAAAAAAAAAAATAGGCTTCACACTGATTTAGAACTGTACAAATAATGTCCTTAAAAAAATAACATTGATCATAATAATCAAATAAAACTCCAACATAAAATTAAAAGTATATTTAAAATTCAGAGTTACAAATTATTTCAAAATTCACATTTGGTTTTCCCCCTAAAAGTACATTTCATTCATGAATTTTGGCAGCACCAGAAAAACAGAAAAACGAAAGACACATCAACTTAATTTGAAATCAAACATACTATTTACCAGCTCAAAAGGATGACAAAGTTGAAAGCTCCTCTGAACTACCAACGTGATCACCAAAGGGCGTTGGCACTTTTGCTGGCCCTTGCTTGCTCAAGCAGTGCCTGGAATGGTTACAAACAAAACAACAAGGTCAAGAACAAAATACAACATACACTGCCGATCCTACGTACCGCCAAATTTCACAGTCGTTCAGGTTAGGCCAAAAAAAAAAAATATTCGGTCTCTGGTCAGACCAAAGTTCCGGAATTGACGCGGCGACGCGGCTTTTTTTTTTTTTTTTGCTTTTTTTTCTTTTTCTTCAAGCTTGGATTGTACAGACAAGGTGGGGTACTATTTTGCTTTTTTGGTGTCCTCATGTACATTGGTGTCCTCCATAATTTGCCTTGGTGCTCTCGATCATTTGTCTTGGTGCAATTTCCCATTCCTTGGTGCTCTTTGGTAAAAATTGAGGAGGTGCGGCAATAGAGCTGTTGGAGCTACCGCGGAACATTTTGGAAAAAAAAAAGATCGACGCGCATGATTAAAATCGACGAGCGCGCTGACCAGAGACCGACTTATTTTTTTTTTTGGCCTTAGTGGCAACACCATATTATTTTTTTGGCACAACTGCGAACTGTTTTTTCTGAATAGCCATTATTTACCCTAAAAAGACACTCATGTTTATGTACTTACTGTAGGGCTACGCCGTTTATACCGAATATTCCATCAAATACAAGTTCCAATAATTGAATACTTAACCCTAACTGCCCTGAATCCTTCAAAATCCTCTTTGCCAAAGTGGAGGAATTTGGAGGATTGAGGTTACATGGCAAAAGTGTGTTACTGATTTCGTAGGATGCACTTTGTCAAGGTATTAAAACACACGACTACCAGAGTACCCATTCAAGAAACCTAACCCCAAAATTCAAACCTCGGAAAGATGCTGTAAACATTCCTCATAAAGGTGTGCAAGATAATACTGCCACGTCAGCGTATCAATACAGAAAAAATACAAGTGTGTACAGTGTACAGTGAGCAATACAGCTTTCTGGTGACAACTTTTGTGAGCGTCATAAACGTTAAATATGTTTTGTTTTTTCCATGTAGACAAGTTTTCTTTTTGAAAATTCCCCACAAATGACATTCAAAACCTTATCTTTTTCATAGTCTGAGAAGTTACTAAGTGATTTGCAAAGTTGGTTATGGCTACCCGATCCCATAATCTGGAACTGGTTCCTGACATCAGCGGTCGGGGACTCAAATCCCCGGTTCAGATGCACATTAACTCACCGTCATTTTAGCTTTCTCCTTAGCCCGGTAAACCTCCAACTTGGTGGCAGCCTTGTCCTCTAACCGTTCCCGTCTTTGCTCCTTCTTCTGCCGATGAGCGTCCAGCTGTGATTGGATGTCGGTCCTGCGGCATTGACCAATAGGAAACCATATCGTGTTTGAATCACTTTATTTCTTATGAAACTCCAGATTGTTCTCATTTTGGCATGGGGTGTGATACATGAAAGTTGGCCATCAATTTGTGTGCGAACAGCGGAAAACATATGCACCGTCTGCAAAAATTTGGTTTTTTGATTTGTCCAGTACTCTGCACGCTTCACAGGTTTCAATAAGAATTCATGAATCATACTTTTCTACCTTTAACTTTTACATTTAAAATCGTTTTAGGAAAACTGGTTACGTAATTTTCAGCAGTTTTTATGGTAAGGTGCACTATTTGATCGCATTTATTTTTGCAGTTAAAGAAATGGCATCGAGTACTCGATTTTTTAGGTGTCGTGACTCTCTGCGTGACACGGTTACTTTAATACTTCATATCCCTTCACCTGAAACTGACCTGCAGGGTTTAAAGGGTTTTACATATATAGCGTGACCAATTCTGCCTGCTTGCACTTAGCTTAACCACACAAAAGAATAGTGCAGGGATTGGAAGTGTTATCCATACTCCCCTGAAAATTACCTCAAAGGAATTTGAAGTGTGGGCGCTAACTCTACGGGCAAAAGTGGTTCTGGTTGTGAAGTGCAGAAGACTATTAGGGTTAACAATGCTTCAGTCCGACAACGGTCTAGTTCCCTTATTCTGACTTACTTTCCGCCAAACAGAAACGATTCTCTCGTCTCCGGACTGTTCCCCCTTTGTCGTCTCTTGTCAGCTCGTGCTAGTCTCTTCTCGATCCTGGCTTCGTGACCTGTAGCCTTGGGTACAAGTTCTTCCATAACCTGAGCAAATAGAGAAAACAAAAGATTCCTTGAATTTTGCTGGTCCCACAGGAGCAGCCTAGTTTTCTCTGCACCTATCTTACTGACTGACTGACTGTCTGACCGACTCACCGACACTTGTGAATAATACCGGGGGCTTATATAACACACGTATCTACCAACAATTAGGTACTCAAGGCGCTGGTAATTATGCGTATTTTTAAAGACAGGTTAATGAAGTTTATGAGAAATATGAGACCCATTATGTAGCACCTTATAAGGGTTAACGAGGTGCTGCGGCGCATATTGCAGCCACTGCCAGAAACACCGGGGCAAACCCCTTCTCTTAGCGATAAGTGCTACTGGTGTTTTACATAACACACGGGACCTGAGGCTGTCATCCTATCCAAAGGACAAAGCATATAATGGTAAAGTGCCTTGCTCAAGAGCACAAGCACCATGGTCCCCGTCAGGATTCGAACCCACGAACCACGGCATGCGAGTTGAACACCATAACCATTGCACCACAGCACCCCACTGAATTGGAATGGCTGTCGACTACTGAAGAAAGCCAGGCAGTGCTATTGTATAGGATTACCCCGTAACACAAATGAATGGGCTAAATCCAGCCCAATGTCCAGACCGGATGCATGAAAAGACTTCCAGTTTAATAAATAGCCATTCTGTGTCAACAGAATAGAAAACTGTGCCATCTGGAACCAGTATCACAAGGGTCGTCTTGTTTTTTTCAATTTATATCAATGCAGTTCAATTGAGTACATGCTCAAAAATTGGTCGAGGGAAAAAAAAGGGATGCTGGACCCGCCCTTTTCCCCTCTGCAGTTATGCTCTTACCATTTGGTTGTGTTTCCTGAAATCTTTTCTCTCTTTCCTGAGCTGTTGTGCACTCTGTTCCTGTCTGTCCTCGTGTTCTGCTTGGGAAAGTGTCGAACCCTAAAGATGGAAGAGACTGGCTGGGTTAAGAGAGCATAAATTAACCCTGCGTGGCTGGGGGGGGGGGGGGAACATAATACACATATGATTGTACGGTCGTACTCGTTTGAATAGTGTCCAGAAAAAAATGTTGCAACCCGACGCCACTTCAGCAGTTGTGTCAAAAGTCTATAGAGAGTCAAGAAAATTTTCTAAGTATTTCCTAACTAAATTGGAAATGTTTCTCAGTCCCAGATTCATGTCTTATCGTCATGTTTGCAATGAATGACCTTCATTGAGATTACATGCATATATTAAGAAAAATGTGGCATCAGGTTGCAACAATTTTTCCTAGTGTCCAAATCCACGTAACTATGCACTGTCTGTTTGGACGATATAGTGGACAGAAGACTGCAAACAGCCATCACTAGATGTTGCTGACTAGTCTTGTTGAGAGAATGAATGATTAGCCATGCCTGCGTCGAGGTCAGCTAGACAAACTATTAAGGGATTTCCTTACACAAATATGTGGTTCTTGTAAGAGGGGTGGTGTTTGGCTGGGATTTTTAGGGTCAATAGTTCAACCAAGGCTATGGGGGGAATTACTGCATTATTTGGCTTTGTTTGAATGAGGAACTTGTCAAATATGAAATTTTTCGACTGAAAATTGTCTTGATAATTACACAAAAAGTAAGCAAAATGGACTTTATTTAAAAGAACGTCAGTTTTGCTTCAGTCGTTTCAAGAAAAATTAAGATTCAAGAAAAAAGTGTACAATCTGAGAAAATTCTCGTGTCTTTCTGCTTACTGGTAACATGGGCCCCTGTATAGGTCTTGTCGGGCCCTGCACAGGCCTTGCCGGACCCTGTACAGGCCTACTGGGACCGATCGAAGTGCCACAGTCGTCCTCCTGAGAACCGGATGATGACGATTTGCCGAATGTCGAGAACGTCTTGGGCTTCATGAGTCCGTCCGCCACGGGGGTCATGTGCTCCCCACCCCTCGCGGTGTTGTGTCTGTCACTGTATTTGGCGATGTCCAGTTTCTTTGGGGGTGTGTGAAGCTCTGCAAACTGAAGGTGTGAAATCTCTCTTTTACAAATTGTTATGAATTTTGCAAACTTAATGCTGTCCTTTTTCCTCTGAAGTTAACTTTTTAAGAATGTAAGCTTTTTAAAGCTGAAACCTCCCAAAAACTTCTTTTATTCCCCAATACCTTAATTCAAATGACTTTCATTGTTAATACATTCATTTATCTTGCTGACACATAATGCATTGTACATGTTGTAAGCTATGTAATTTTTATACTTGTTGTATTTATTTAGGCCACAAAAAATCCAACACTTTTTGGTCCAACATGTAGGGTTGCTCTAAAATAGGTGCAGTGAAAGTATTTCTTCATTTTTATTTGTTTTTGACATACGTGTTTCAAAAGTCAGCTTTATTTTGTTTTTGCTAGCACAAAATTTATTTTGATGTACGTACGGAATACAGACTGGGAGGGGTCTACATGTTAACCACTTTGCGCCGGGGGCCGTGATAACACGCACTGCCTGTTTGTGTACCCAGGCACGGCTGACGGGTTAAGACGTCAAGATTGCCTCGACTCGCCTCCGGGTGATGTCTAAACACGCTAATCCCTCGTGCCTTTTGTACACACACGCGAAGTCCAAGCAGTCTGTGATTGTGGACCGTGTGCTGACCATTGTGTGGCCCCTTGTGCACGGCCTATTGTTGTACCATTTACGCTCCAGTGCACACCCCGGAGTATTGAAACAATACAATGCGGTTTTCGCAAGAAATATCCAGCAAATACAGTTAACATCCCTCTTGCGAATCAGAATTTGTGGCGTTTGGCTTTATGCATGTATATCAGAAGTTGGCTGGAAAAATTTGGCCTTTTGAAAATTTTGAAATTTTCGGCAAAAGTAAACCCGGCGGGAAGTGGTAAATGCCTAAAAAGGCTGTTTCAATTTCGCAGCTATAAGATTTTAACAAAAGTGGAATTTTGACACTTGTTTGACTTTTTTTTCATTTCGATAAAAAGAGAAAATGAAGCCAAGGAAGAGAGATTTCTCACCTTCCATTTGTATTTGGTCAAAGACGTTCTTGCGTCCTCATGGTCGATACCTCTGTAGAACTTCTAGAAAAGGGAGCAAACAAAAATCATTAAAGAACCAAATCAAATGAACAATGTTTACAATAAAGATAAGAAATATTTGTGGGATGCAAAGGTTAGATTGGTCGTTCTTCTTACCTTTGAAAGTTTTCCGCTGTTCCACTTTTTCACGAATCTCTTGAAGTAGGACTTGGCTTTTGACCCTGACAGCTGGTCAAAATATTTGCCTTTCTGTAATTGAGAATATAAAAAATATATGAAATCTCAACCCATTGGCAACTGTATTACATTGTAAAGGTTGTCCCACAAAAAAAACCTAACAGTCGAGAACCAATTAGTAAAGGTATATTGCATGAAGGTTTTGGAATATTTTCAAATTACCTCTTAAAGTCAGATAACCAATCTACCATTCAAACTTTATTTCATTTAAATCGATGCATTGGAACAAAAGCTATGCTTCATCGAACTCAAGAGTTGAAAATTGTCTTGGGCAACTTTCCTTGAAAGTGAGAAAGCACAGTTAGAGAAACACACAAAGGAGGGGTCAAAAGTGTTTGTGCAGCTTATCATTTAGACAAAGGTATTTTTGGAAAACCAGGAGATATTAATAAAAACAAGTGGCCCAAGTGGTTTTTCAAGGTCCCGTATCGTGATTGCTGTATCTTTTGAATAAAATTCCTAATGTAACCAACTAAAAAGCATTTCAAAGACCAATTATTCTACTCACAGTTAGGTTTTTTGTGACATTTGTTATAGTTACATTTGTGTGTTCTTTACAACATTGGTGTCTGGCAATTGTTTTTAAATTATGACGATTGGCTACAGTCGACCTACCTCTTCGACAAGCCATAATCTGAACTCCGTACTCTTGTGATAAAAGTCATCCCTGGAGATTTTATCTAAAAAGAACACACACAAAAAAGTTCACATAAAACGGTTGAGTACAGCCACCTCAAATTGAACAATTTGAGTAGAACAAAAATTGGCTCCTTGTGCGCTTCTTATAACCGCTGTGCAAAGTTCGCTTGGAATTGCTCGGATAGAGTGCCAATGTTCCCAAGACCTGTTGGTAACACCTTTTACCAATGCGGCAGCTTGCCAGGAATTAAGACGAATTAAGTTGAATAAGCACCAAAAAAAATCCTGACGTTGAATATTGTCAGGTCAGGAAACCAGATGGTCGACTGCCATAACGATAGCCGCTGCGTTTTTAGAAATATACAATGATAATTTTTTGTCATCATTTCTCTTACTTAGTTCCTTCTTTTTCTTCCGTCTTTCTTCTCGTTTCTTCTCTCGCCTGCGCTGCTTCTTGGTTGCCGAGTCCACTTTTTGTTTCTTGATCTGAATCGGCGCTTCTGATTCCGACTCTGCAAGGAATAATTGAAGAGTGAAACATCATATCTTTGGACTGCTGCAAGTTTTACTGGCACAAGACAACTCTGAGTAGTATCACTGTAAATTCACAAATGTCCCCATCGATGTTACCGGTTCCTCGCTCCAATGCACACCCCTGCCGTACATGTACTCTTACTCACTCAAAGTTATAAGTTTTCATAGCTAATTACATTGGAAATCACATACACTTTTTTATTTCTTCCAAATGACAGCAAGCCAGACGGAATAATTTCAATGGGTGTTTAGTACCAGTACGATCTTTAATCCAAGTACATGTAAGCTTTCCGATAATAATTCTCCAGGTTACTTTTGGGATACATGCAAATGATCATTTCAAAGGGACAAGATATCCTAAAGCTTAACCAAGTGTTTTACGTCTTTCGACAGAATTGTACGGACTGTAAATTTGCATTTGTGTCTGTTTCTGTCGACGGAACACGTTTCCCCAGTGGCCACGTTGCGCCCCAACTACAGAATCATCCCAATTCTAGTTGGGACAATCCCAACTACAGTTTGATTCATCTCAACTATAGTCAGGAATTCCCAAACTATTGTAGGGCCTGTCCCAACTGTAGTTGGGTCCACTGCCATAGTTGGGACGGATCAGTCATACCCGATGATGAGGAGTTAGCAGAGCTGCTGTCACTACTGCTGCTGTCGCTGCTGCTAACACGTCGCTTCGACGCGGTCTTCTTGTCCTTTCCCCTGGAAAAGGAATAGCAAGAATAGAAACACTCCTTACACCTTACACCACTCAGGATTTGTGCATACTCACGTCGTCACAGTTTGGGGTCATAGTTTTATACATTAAAAAGGCTGCCATTAGACATTTTAGGCGTACATGTACTCCAGAAAGATGCCTACATTTCTAAAAAAAAAATCTTATAACCCGGAGGGCAAAAGCTGAGACATCATAGAATACAAACGTATAGGGCCTACAGTGTAAAATTTCATAATTCAAAACCCTACCAGTGCCTACCCAGTCTCAGTCATCAATGACGGTTTGTGCACGTACAGGGTGACAAGTGATGGCCAGATATAAGGGAATATTTCCCATTTTTTTGTTGTACATTTTTTTCTCTCATAATTTATTTAAATTCAATTTCACGCTTGCACGGCACCGGCGTGAAGTCAAACTGGATGATGATGCCTAGCGGCGATATCCAGTCAACTTTCCGAGATTCTGAGATTCTGAGATTCTGAGGACGCAGCGCCCCTTTATTTTTAATTAATTCTACTTGACATGCCGGACAGCCTTGCCCTTACTTTGGCTTAATAATGTTCGTCCGGCATGTCCGGAAACTGGGCTGTCACCTGACCTGGCTGTAGGCAAGTGTGAATGCACTCCTTTTTGCGCATAGTCTTCTCAAAAACATAACAATTGTAATACTAACTACATAATTTGTAATGTAACAGTGTGACTTACCTAGAATTGCTTCCCATGTTGATGAAATTAGCGAATCTTCACCGCTTTCAAACACAAACGAACTGCCTTCGAAAAAAACTGTAATTCGCTCCTTCAACGAGCGCCCTCACTTGTTCGACTCTCGCACAATCTGACTCCGATCTAGGCTGGTTTCCAGTCCCTCCATCGTCGTGTTTCCATTCGAGACTAGTTCCCAGTCCCTCCAACGTCGTGTTGTAAAAACAAATGGCACTGCGGCACGCAAGCTGAATAACTTTTTGAGTGAAGAAGAATTTGAATTCACAAAACATCATTATATTTCATAAACTTGTAATCCTTTTATTTGAAGAAATGTATCCAACCTATAATTGCTTCACCCAGTTTCGACCCATCATGCAAAAACGGCAAATATTCAAACTTCATCGATTTTTCTCAACAACGGCTGTTTTGCCTTCCAAGAGCCACAAGGCTGTAGGTTTTTTAAAGCCTTTCTTTGTCACAATATTAAAATGAAACAATTTTCCCCATTATAATCCTCCCAATCGTCGAAACAATCCGGACCCAGTACACCCCTTGCTCCACCCACTAAAAAAAAAAAAAATCCAACCGTCACCAATTTCTGAAATTATCTCATCAAGGGGGGGGGGGGGAGGGGACCGTCATTCCCCCCACTTCTTGCTTGTTTACCGATAATCAACAAGACGATTAATCAATTTTATATAAACAGCAAAGCTTACCTCTCAAATGTTATAAACTCTATAGTTTCTGTTTCATCCTGGCCTAAAATGATTTATAAAGATAGCAATTTTTAGAACAAATTGAAAAGCAGAATTTTTGGAACACAAAAAATGGCTGAATGATGCTGGATGATGCAAAATACCTATAGGATTCAATTAGCACCACTGCTAAGCTAAACTTCGTCAACAATTGTGAAGACAATTAAAACGACAATTTTATATACACACAAATAATGATAAGCCATAAAGAAATCACTCTCTGTCAAAAATAAAATAGACGCCATGCGTCTATGACACTGTGAGCTTATAGCTGCAATATTCTTATAAATCTCTGTCAAAATAATAAGGTTACATTCAAGTTTGCCTTTATTTTTACTCGATGCCACTATTATCATCATCAATGTACGGAGAATAAAGGGCATTTTTTAACTATTAATTTGGCGAAAATATTCTTGAGCCTAATGACGGTTTTTAATGGCACAGAATACAATACACGAGTCTCATCATATTACACAATCTCGATTTACTGGAGTTTATAATCATTCTTTTTTTTTTCCTGATAACGACAGAATCTACCATCCGCTGCTTTTATTACGTGTACATTCTAGTCTGTTGCAATTATTACAGATTCCGATCTTTTGCGATCACTACATTCTGTTGCGATAATGTGTTCGTTTGCGATAACTACATAATCTGTTGCGATTACCGCATATTCCGATCAGTTTCGATTACTGCAAATTATAGGCCTATTCCAATTCTTTTCAGATGACTACATAATCTAATAAGTTGCAATTACTATAGAGTCTGATCTGCTTCGATTACTCCAAAATCTAATCTGTGTCGACAAGGAGTAGCTTGTCGTCCCGGTACTGCTCGTCTCCTCCCATTTGCAGTTCACCAATCTCCTGATCTTGAACCGTCTCCCTCTCATCAGACCCATGGAGCGTGGCCGGCGGATCAGCAGCCATCCCTGCTGGCTGGGAAGCCATCTCCTGTGGGGAACCGATTCCAACCTGCGGAGAACCGATTCCTACCGGATGGAAACCAATCCCCACCTGAGGAGAACCAAACACTCCTTGATCTGAACCAATGCCAACTTGTTGAGAACCAGTGCCAACCTGTTGGGAACCAAACGATCCTTGATAGGAACCAATGCCATCTTGTTGGGTACCAAACCCTCCTTGCTCAGAACCAATGCCAACTTGTTGGGAACCAATGCCAACCTGTTCGGAACCAACCCCTTCTTGTTGGAAACCAATGCCCACTAGCTGCGAATCGATCCCTACTTGTTGGGAACCAACCTCTACCTGTTGGGAACCACCTCCCTGTTGGATAGGAACCCCCGATTGCTGGAAAATCGCCTGCTCTCTCTGAAGACCAACTTGCAGTTGAGGAACCAAATTCGGCTGAGGAGGCACAACAACAGGAACAACGGCAGGCTGTTGGACATAAACCAGTTGAGGAGTGCTGCGTCCCGAATGCTGCTGGGAGACATCAAGGAGTGGGGTGCTTCTGCCAGAGTGCTGTTGAGGAAGACCTATCTGCTGGGTAGCTACTCCGACCTGCTGGGTGGGAACCAGGCCTTGACCAACATACGGGGAACTCACTAAGAATCCACCTGCGCGAATAAATTGATATCTTGAAAATAAAAACACCAACTGTACGGTATTAACAAGTCGGCTAAGCAACTTTTCTTAAATCTCAAAGTTAGAAATTTTTAACTTGCCAATTTTGGGCTGCAGCGACACATGCACATTTACGGCATTAACCTCGGATTCTCGTCTGTCTAGACCCCACAATAGCGTCCCAAAGCGCCCTCAGTTGTTCCAAATATGGTCTCATAATTATTATACCATGTCAATCAGGCGATGATTCAATGAAAACTCACTGTAATTTTTTTTTTAACTTTACGTCAGATAGCTTTCCTGCCATTTAAGGACAGGCAGTAGAATTATTTCACTTTTATCGGAAATCCCAATTTCAAGTTCGCCTTGTTCTGCTTTGTACCTATCGCATTGACTGAATGAATAACTGACTCCCTGATATATTGTAAACCGGGCAGTGCTGTCGTATAGTATTACCCATATTGTCAAACAATGGGCTAAATTCGGCCCAATGTGTAGATCGGATACATGGAAAGAATTCAAGTGAATCAATTGACTATAATGTTTTTCCCTCTGGGACCAGCTTTTATGCTAGGCTCGCCTGGTCTTGTTCCTAGACGCTCAAACCGAGCATCGGTGGGCTGCGGTGTTTTTATCTGCAGCACCCATCGTCAATGGATCATGATTATTCAGCTAGTTCGATGTTTATTCATAAGAAAATAACAATGACGTCACACCATTGCTACCGCGTCATGCATGTACATTAAAGCATTTCAAAGAAATGCCACAGTGGCTTAGTGGATAGTGTAATGAACTATGGATCGCAAGATATGGTGCAGATGTATGCTGCAACAAAATACACCGGCGGGCTTCTTCGTACCTTGCACGGGAGTTGCTGCTGCTGGTGCGGCTTGCATCTGATACGGTTGCTGTTGCCGCGGCTGCTGGGTGTTTATGACGGGAACAAACTGGGTAACAGTCTGCCGCAGCTGCTGTTGTTGAGGTACGTAACGAACCTGCATCTCCTATAAAAAATACAACCAAAACCTCTTAATTTCAAAGATTTGGTACTGAAATAAAATGAACTTCTGTCACAGTATGTCCCCAAAAAAGTGTCCGTCTAAATGTTTTTTAAAGATCTGCAAAAAACGCAGTAAATTTTGATATTTGTAGTTGTGCAGATACCCCTAATCCTTGGCCTAAACCCCTGCGAGTTTCATTTAATTTCCCTCACGCCTCACTGCACAATGGTCCATTGATCACAACAACATTTTTGGACACTGTGACCAAGAAGCGGTGACGAGAAATGTTCTCGGTATTGACAAAGGTGCAGGCGCGGTTCTAGAGCCAATATTTTTGGGGGGCTAGCACGGTGAATCCAGAATTTTTTTTAGGGAAGCGTGCTGAAATGTTGACCGGTTATTTTTTCCAGACACTTAGGCCTCCGAAAATCAATAGGTGGTGGGGGGGGGGGGGGGGGCTCATGCCATATTTTCAATGGGGAGCGCCAATAAAATCCTAAAATCATTCACACTATAGCAAGGGCGGATCCAGAACACAATTTTTTGTGGGGGCCAAAACAAATTTTCGTCCCCCCAAAAAGTGGGTCCAAAAAATTACGGCGTGGGGTTCGGGGCCCGCTGAAGGGCCCCGAACAATTTTTGGATTCTACATGCTCTGTGGTGCGATCTGAGGCAATTTCTGACCACTTTAACCAATTGTTTTTGAGGAAAAGATGGTGGTGTACTCATTGCCTGCCTTAATTGCGATGTCACATAAAAAAAAAGATAATTGGTTTCGGTGGTTTTTTTTTGGGGGGGGCCATGGCCCCCTTTGCCCCCCCCCCCCCCTCCTGGATCCGCCCTTGAACTATATTAACTAATGCACCCTTGTCACGGCTATTTCTTCTTTAGGGGGTGACCGTTCACATGTACATCACATGCAATCCTTCTTTTTGCTAATGCAATTTTTTTTTTACGGAATTTATTTTTGGGGGGCTAGACAAAATTTTGGGGGGGCTACAGCCCCCCCTAGCCCCCCGTAGAACCGCGCCTGCAAAGGTGTTGCCAACTCTTTACTCCAAAGAACGGACAGACTATTAAATCTGCCCAGAGCGTGGGGAACACTCCTTACCAGTGGTTCATTTGAGAACCATAGGGCCTACTTCTTTACAGAATAGATTATGATATTAAAGGCTGATGGGATCATTTACTTTGCATGCATTTTGTTCTTTTTCGATAATAACACCACTCGAAAACCGAACAAGAATGTTCAAGATCTAACCCTTTGCTCGGTGGATATTACACTTTTCGCGAAAACAGTGAAAAACCATGCACAGCCGGATTACGAACCACTGTGTCGTCTTTACATTTTTTCCCAACAAAATCCGTCATTTGACTGATAGTTATAAATCACCTACGTTTCATGTTTCTGCTACATGAGAGTAAGCCAGACGGAATAATTTCACTGGGAGTTTAGTACCACTACGATCTTTAATCCAAGTCAGCTTGATAATAATTAGGAAGAAAGGTTTGCGGAAACACCATGTGCGAATAATTTCTCAACTAAGAGAATGGTTCTAAAAGAACCAGAGGTATAAACCTCTGGTATATACCTCTGGTTCTTTTCAGAACCTCTGGTTCTTTTCCGAACCTTCGGTTCTTTTCAGAATCATTCACTTAGTTGAGAAATTATTCGCACATGGTGTTTCCGCAAACCTTACATTATTAAGTATCTCCACCATGCAAAGCCTCAAATCTTACTCATAATTAGGGAGGTTATTTTGGGGATAAATGCAAATGGTTCTATGTGTCTTTAGTTATCGTTGTACATACCGTAGCGGAGGTGTTGGTGGGCACGAATTTGGCCAGGCCGTAGCAACAGAGCGCCGAACCCACGATGCTAAAGATAAGGTCAGCCAAAGCAACCACTGCGATCACAACGTCCACGGCAAGGCGAGATTGCTGGTCAGTGAAGAAGAACAGTGAAGAGGGCAACTTTTGTTATTTTAGTTCAGTAACAATGAATGCACAAAGGGTTCACTCATGCACATCCCAGTAAAACAAAGGCATTGCTCTCTGAGATGGCTGCTACGCATATTAAAGGTCTATTGGGAGAAGTTGGTCAGAAACGGATGCGTTTAGTTGCAAGCAATCGTTTCAAGTAATCACAAGTTGACCACAAGTAAAGACAAATCAATCACAAGTCAAACACAGGTCGATCACAAGACGATTACAAGAATATCACAAGTCAGTTCCTCGTCGATCACAAGTCAATCACACGGCAATCACAAGTCAATCAAAAATCCATCACAATCCATCACAAGTCAATCACAAATCGATTGCAGGTCAATCGTAAGTCAGCTTGACACAAGTTATCTGAAACCATCCGGTCTCAAGCCAGATGGCAATCTGATACTATATTCTAACAAAGACTCAAAAGCGATGTGAAATTAATTGACTTGTAATTAACTCGAACTTATTTGAAATACCTTTGATCCCCCCGCCTCCTAATTTTAGAAAAAGTAATAATATTATTTAAAAAAAGATTGATTATGCCTACCCAGGAAGAGACGCAGTATTCACTGTCGTAATGACCGTCGTGCCAGTAATACTGTTTCGTGCAACTAGGATCATGAATCTCCAAGCTTGCCCCGATAGCTGCTTCAAGCAACAGTAGACCAGCAACGACCGAAGACAGGATGGACATGACCAAGAAGGCGATTATCTGCATTTAAGATGATATAATTAAAACTATACGATTAAATGGCCGATTACAAAAGATCTACAAAAAATCGATTACAAAAAATCCACTCGGTCTGCATTGCCCTTTTATCACAAGACTACATAGGTAGACTGGTGACGCTAAGCTTGAGAAGTTTTTTTTCCTCAATGGGAGACTTTTGAGACGCTTGGTGGCAGCAAACAGGCAACGATCCTTTTTTTCTGTTCTTGGCGTCCATTTTGAACATGCGCACATCAGCTTAAACATGACACAAAAAATGGAGATTAATGGATGCAACCTCGTCTCCAGGGCTTACTTTAATTTTAACCGCGTTTCCAATAGTAAAGTAGTGGTGCTAGCTTAGTGCTCGACACCATGGCAACGAGGTTGCAATGGATGCAAACATGAACCGGTATGTGTTTGCTGCCACCAAGTGTCTCAAGAGACTGTGATTGATTTAAAATGGCTATTCACTGGAAGTCTTTTCATGCATCTGGTTTAAATAATGGGCCGGATTTAGCCCACTCATTGGGGTAATCCTATGTGATAGCACTGCCCGGCCCTCACCAGCCTAAACCAGTGTTGATATATAGGTAACAGTCAATAAAACCAGACAGCGAGAAACGTATCTAGAAGGAGACTAGCTAGGCAGATAAAATGGGGGGGGGGGGTGTACTAATTAACAATATCTTCGTAATTATGAAGTCATCTAGAATAAAAGTCTATGAGCGTTTTCGAAACGACTGGCTTTGGCTTCGTCTTCGGCTTATAATGACATTTTAGGCCCCCAACTTCTGGAACTCCAGCTGCATTTTTGTGCCTGTTATGCTTCAGGAACATTCAATCGGTTGATATGAAGACAGAAGTTGGAATATTTTCGTTCAGTTTGCCTCTCAGTGATTCAGAAGTAGGATGCAATGCCGAAGCAGAAGCCGAAGCAAAGGTTAAAAAAAAACATGTTCAGGAAATTCTTACCAAGCATTTGTTCCTGTTAATGCACGCAGCGATGATGCCCAGGATACCAGTCACAGCGAAAAACTAAATAATTGGAAGGAAGAATAATTTAAATAACTGTGCATAAAAATGGGTGTAAAAAAGGGCCATCACATTAATGGTAAATCTAACTTGATAGCATGAACACTCTGATTTTTTGAAAGTTAGCTTATGTGGTTCGACTGGCATTTAAAACCCTACAATGGTACAGACCTAAAGGGTCACTCAACATTTGTGTTTAATACATGTGTAGGAATTATTAAAAATTAAATGTCTCTTTGGGGGCTCTGTATTGCGGCCACGTTGTGCCTGTCTTTTAGTGCCACACATAAACCACTAAAATCTTGAACTTTTTCACGATTTCATTGTGTAAAAACTTACCAGGGTTCCACTCCAGATCGCCCACCCGGACTCATAAAACGCACACTGAAGGATGATTGCTGCGACGCCGAGTCCAACGCTCAGTACTCCGAGAACGAGGTGGAAGATGGAGACTACAAGCAGACAGGGCACTCCATGGGGTGTCTTGGCGGCTCGGCGCCCGTAGCCTACGGCGGGGCTCTGCTGCTGGACCACTCCGTTGGCCGGACCGTTGGCCTGGGTTATTTGCATGGTTCTTAGGGAAGGATAGGAGATGTGGTCTAGTGGTTAGGTTGTTGACCGATTATCAGAGGGTCAGGGGTTCGAATCTGCCGCCGACAATACAGGGTGAATAAAAAAAAAAACGGAACCCAATTGTCGGGACCATTGTTTTAGTGAAATTCTGCATATAACACTTTCAAAATCTAGGATATGAAAGCCCAATTCATAAGCTTTCTTTTAGTATACAAATCATTCAAATCACTGATGTACTTTTCAACTTACGGAATTTTGAACACAACCACCATTTAAAAGTTCTGTCCACGGATCACAAAAAGTTTGGGTTTCGGGTTTTTTTACTCACCCTGTATGTTGTGTCCTTACTCATTAATTGGGTGAGCATACTTCACCCCCCACTAGCCTCTCTCCACCCTGGAGTATAAATGGATGCCGTCATTACATGGGAGTAACCTGCAATGGACTGGTGTCCCATCCATAGAGTTACCGGTACCCAGCGATTCAGATAATTTCAAACCAATGTTGGGCAGGGTTTTATCAATGTTATTAAAAGTGTGCAAATGAACAGATAATGTCTTCAAAAATATATAACAAACATTATGTGTGACGGGAACTCATAAGCAAGAAAGAGACGAGATCATTCGTGAGCAGGCCAAAAATGGATTTAACAAAACATCAAATATCCGTGGATTTCTGAGTATAAATACTTGTTCTATTATTGCTCATAGATTCTATTCGATGCGAAGAAACATCATCAAGAGTTAAGCTAAGACAAAATAAAACGAATATGTACACATCAAAAATCAAACGATATTTGTTGGTTCTACATAGTGGAAAGTCACAACATAAAACGCATGATTTAACCGATCAAACTATCAAAGTACATCAGAGTATAGGTTTACTAACCTACGTGTCGTTCCTTTGCGTTCAGAGATATTCCTTGCTGGTACGGGTTCTATTATAAACTGTGAATATATCACGAACGTAGTGCTCCATCATGGTGTGGTTCAGACTTTGAACTTGACGCACTTGGCTTAATAATTAACCAACTCTCTTTGTAATGGTCTTTATTTGGAATTGCAGTGTTTACAAATATACAGGCATAGGGTCATCAATGGTTCATGACACTTGCACTTTAGGTTGCGTTTGTACCTGATGACACGCAATGCCAAGACTTTACTTATTTCTTCCCCCTTCTTTTGCTAATTATTTTATGAAAACAGTATGGATGGTTTCTCATTCAAACCTTGTTAATTCTACTGTTCATTTCTAATTCATCTAGACCTAAAATAATCGATAAAGATAGCACTTTTCATGTCATTTTTGATGAGCAGAATTCGGCGCTGTAATGGCCGACTTTAATGACAGGCAAACATATCAGTATTTTGTCTAATATCGAATCGCTGGATGATGTGAATATCAATACAGGGTGAGTCACAAAGAAAGTTACCCAAATTAATTAATATTTTCTTCAAAAGCAATCTAGTTTGAAACACCAATAATGTTTATCTGAAAGAACATCTTCTTCCACTCATCTCAAAAAAAAATAATTACTGAAATTGACCCATGTTATCAGGAGTTATGAACGTTTCACTAAAAGAACCAATTGTTATAGAACCTATTGAGCTGGATGAGTATTACAGATTACGCGTCCACGTTTCATTGAACTCAATAGGCATTCATCGGTTCGGTTCGTAGAACGTAAATGATCACTCGGCTTTCCACCCGAGTTTTGGGATCTTTAAATTGAAATAGACATAACTTGGAAATAGAGTATGCAAATTACGTGAAATTTTCACAGTTAAAAGTCAATACAAAGTAGTACTTTATCCCTATTTGTTTTGATGTGAAATGAGGTAAGCCAAATATTTATAAAATATTGTTCAAGTTGGTAATTTTTGGTTTTACTCACCATGTAGGATTCAATAAGTATTACTACTTCGCCAAGAAACTTACAATGTACAGGGGCTACGATAAGCCATATAGAAATCACTCTGTTTCATTTATGCAGGGTGAGTAAAAACAAAAAGGAAACCCAAATGGCATGGCCAATTATTTAATGAAGTTCTGCATGTAGCACTTTCAAAATCTAAGATATAAAAGTCCAATTAATAAGCTTTTATTTCGTACAAGAATCATTCAAATCACTTGTGTACTTTTCAAGTAACGGAATTCTAAAAACAACCACCGTTTTAAATTCTGTCCGCGGATAACAGAAAAGGTAGGTGTTCTTTCAGCAAAACGAAAACAATTCAAATAGGGATGTATATATGTGAATTGTTTTGATAATGTGGTTACATTCAAGTTTGCCCTTAGATTTTCTATTTATTCGTTGCCACTATAGTCCCATCCATCACAAATGTACGGAGAATCAAGGGCATTTTTAAAAACTATTAATGCGACAAAAATATTCTTAAGCCATAAAACGGCTTTTTAAACTATAGTGGATTCAATTAGCACCACTACTTAGCGAAAATTCGTGAAGAATTGTGAACTAACAATATATACAAGGGCAATGATATAAGTCATAAAGAAATCATATTGTATACCAATTATAATACTACTTGTATTAACTTGTTGAAAGCCGCCATATTGGAATACACGAAAAAAATAAGTGGTTAAATTCCAGTTTGCCTTTTGATTTTTTTAAAAATTAATTTTGTGCCACTTCTCTCTACAGGTATAGGGGCATTTTAACCATTCATTTGGCGACGTTATTCTTGAAATGTATGATTCTTTTGCTATTATGCATGCAACAATTTGCATGATCTCTCTGTTTCGAATACTCGAGATTATGATTATTATGTGACGATAACTACAAAATCTACCATCCGCTGAGAATACCATAGGCCTACATATATTAATTTGTTGGGATTACGACAGATTCTAATCCGTTGCGATAACCACAGATTCCGATCTGTTGCGATGACTACAGATTCCGATCAGTTTTGATTACTACAGATTATAGTCATTCTTTTCTGACAACTTTCTAATCCGTTACGATTACTACCAAATCAAAAGGATCTAATCTGTGTCGGCCAGGAGCAGCTTGTCGTCCCGGTACTGCTCGTCTCCTCCCATTTCCAATTCTTTAACCTCCTGATCCTCAACCGTCTCCTTCTCATCAGATCCCTGGAACGTGGCCGGCTGATCAGCAGCCATCCCTTCTGGCTGGGAAGCCATCTCCTGGGGAGCAACTCCTGCTTGCGGGGAACCGATTCCAACCTGCGGGGAACTGATTCCAACATGCTGAGAACCAACACCTATCGGCTGGAAACCATTCCCCACCTGTGGGGAACCAAGCCCTCCTTGATCGGAACCAATGCCAACTTGTTGGGAACCTATCCCCGCTTGGTGCGAACCGATCCCTACTTGTTGGGAACCAACCTCTACCTGTTGGGAACCACCTCCCTGTTGGACAGGAACCCCCGATTGCTGGAAACTCGCCTGCACCGTCTGAAGACCCACTTGTGGTTGAGGAACCACGTTCGGCTGTGGAGGCACAAGAACAGGAACAACGGCAGGCTGTTGGACATAAACCATTTGAGGAGTGCTGCGTCCCGAATGCTGCTGGGAGACATCAAGGAGTGGGGTGGTTCTCCCAGAGTACTGCGGGGGAATTTGAAGACCTACCTGCTGGGTAGCTACCCCGAGCTGCTGGGTAGGATACAGGCCTTGTCCAGCATACGGGGAACTCACCAAGTATCCACCTGTGCAAGAAAATTAAAATCTTGAAAATAAATACATCAACTGTACGGTATTAACAAGTTACTCAACAAGTCATATTTTTTTCAGGGAATGCATCCGGACGCCATTTTCCAGACTGGACGATACTAGTTTATTGAAGCAGTAACTTTACTTTACTGCAATCTAAAAAAATTAGAGATTTTAAATTTGTAAATTTGTAAATTTTAATTTACGTTACCAACCTCGGATTCACATCTGTTTATACCCCACAATGGCGTCCCAAGGCGCCCTCATTCGTTTAAAATAATGGTCTATTATAATAATGACAACACCATAGGCCTGGCTGGTAATTGTATATCAGTCAGGAGATTTTTATGTCCAATGTCAACCCAACGTAAGCTTGCTAACTTAATTAATTCAAAAAGATTAACCAGTTTATTAAAGACAGGCAGTAATTTAACTTATAGCAATGACCAATGTAAAGTTCGCATTGTCCTCTTTGTACCTATCTCACTGACTGAATGAATTTTTGCTGACTGACTGACTACCAATGAACCGATCCAGTAAGCACCGCCCTATGGTATTCTGACCAATCACAGCTGTGATTTATGTCCGACGTGCGTGCACAAAAGTCCGACATGCGTGCACGCGCGTATGATGCGCGCGGCAGGAAAATGCAGCGTGGCATTGGGGAGGAGCACTTGTTAATTTGCCCAGGTGCGCAGTGGGCGGGGCTTAGTGGATTGGTCCATACTGAGTCAGGCATTGCTATCGTATATCGGTTGGCTACTTCGTTTACCTTTCACTGGGGCCGCTGCTGGTGCAGCTTGCATCTGATATGGTTGTTGTTGCTGCGGCTGCGGCTGCGGCTGCGGTTGCGGCTGTGGCTGCTGGGTGTTTATGACGGGAACAAACTGAGTGCCAGGCTGCTGCATCTGCTGCTGTTGAGTGACATATCGAACCTGCATCTCCTCAATTCAAAATAATTAAAAAACCAAAATCTCGTAAAAATTAGGTGCTGAAATGAAACATGAATCAAAAAAGATAATGTAGAAGCTGTGAATGGGCTTTGTCAATTGAAAAATGTTAGAAAAACTGTTTACTTTAAAGCGGCCATAGAGACAATCATAGAAACGTAGGCCTAATAACCACACAAATTCGATTCTGAAAGGCAAATGATTTTTTTTTGCTGATCATTGTTGGTTTCCAATAATGACACCACTCGAAAAATATGTTCAAAACCTAACCTGTTAAAGCTTCAGCTCAGTGGATATTACACTTTTGAGAAATAGTGAAAAACCATGCACAAGCTTTCGATCACGAAACATGCTTTCTTGTATAATAATAATTTATTTATTAATAATCTTTATTTCCCCAAAATTTGACAACATTGACTGATCGTTAGAAATAACCTACATTTCAGCAAGCCAGACGGAATAATTTCACAGGGTGTTTTAGTACCACTACTATCTTTAATCCAAGTAAGCTTTTTAATAATGAGTCGGTTGGTGACTTTTGGGATAAATGCAAACGATTTTATTTGTCTTTATTTGCTGTGGCCTCGTGGTTAAGGGCACTGATTCATGGTCTGCAGGTAAAGCTGCAGGTTGTTGGTTCGGGTCCTGGCGGGGTCATGGTGCGTGTGCCCTTGGGCAAGGCACTTTGTCACTCATTGCTTCTCTCCACCCAGGAGTAAATGGGTACCTATGAGGGCAGTGATGGTTATTGTGATTGAATTAGCTTCCTTGCGCCTAACAGGCTGCATCGAGCTGTATACTCCCCAGGGAGCCGAGATGGTATATGGAATGTTTAATTGGCCCAATGATTAGGGGTAATAATAATGTAAAGCGCTTTGATCTTAGTTAAAAGCGCTATATAAGAATTATTATTATTATTATTAGTTATTGTTGTACACATACCGTTTCGGGGGTGTTGGGCATGTAAGTGGACAGGCCGTAGCAACAGAGCGCCGAGCCAATGATGCTAAAGACAAGCTCAGCCAAAGAAACCCCCACAAGCAGAACATCCACGGCAAAGCGAGATTCCTGGTCAGTGAGGAATTGGGAGAAACTTGTGATTATTCAGCCATTATGGTTGCAAAGGCGAAGCTTGGCCAGTTGTCAAGCAAAACTAATGCGATTACGTACTTAAACGCTATAACAGGAGAGGTGAAATTCATGCATCCCAAAAAAACATGGCCTTTTGAACGTTGTGTTTCTCAGAAACTTATGCCCAGTAGAAATGAAATGTTAAATTATAACGGAAGAAGAAATTCTAAACTTCATGTCAGTGAAAAAAATCGCCGTCATCGATGCCGAAACGTCAATAGTGGTTACTGGTATAGCTGACCTTCAAGTCAGGAAGAAATCATTCGAAAACTTCCCCAAATATATGTTTTTATCACAATTCTGGGCAAGTACTCAAGTTGTTATTTCACGAGTAGTTGAACACTTGTTCTGCAAAGTCATCACAGGTTCGTATAATAACAATAATGTATGGTTGTACCCAGTTATAGGCGCAACGCCATCCATCCCAATACTGGTAGAGATTGCAACTAGGTTCGCCGCTCTCCGCTGCTGCACCGATGGCCGACCCAATCAACAGCGCACCAGCAAAGACCGAAGAGAGGATGGACATTACCAAGAAAGCAATGATCTGTATTCAAGAGAGAATGAAAAATTAATGATTTAATGGCCTATGAAAACGCACCCCGTCTATATTGCCCTTTTTATAACGAGGTATAATTAGCCTGGTGAAGCTGGTCCGAAAGTGAAGACTTTTGAGACGATTGGTGGCAGCAAACACAACTGTCCCTAATCTGTTGTTTGCGTCATTTTTTAACATGCGCACATTAGCTTAACACGACGCAGACACTGATCGCTATTACATCAACTTGGGGAGATCAATGGGCCCAATTTCATGGCGCTGCTAACCGTATTCCACGTTTACGATCACCATTTTGTGCTAACCGCGCTAGCAGAAATATTCTGTGCTAACCCTGTAAGCACAGAATCCTTAGTTATGGGATGTACGCGTGCGCAGAAGCCAAAATGCCTCGCTAACCCGTGAAATACGCTTACAGTAAGCAGGGAATATTCTGCTATAGTAAGCAGGGATTTTTCGTTAACGGTAAGCAGAGCCAAGAAATTGGGCCCAGGTCGGCGATCTATGGTTCTACTCCACCAAACACGCGCTCATTAAAAACAACACAAAATCGGACAGAAAAAAGCGCCGCCTGGTGGCGCTCAGGAGCAAGGCGGCAATGTGTGGTGTTTTTTTTTTAAACTAGAAAATAAAGATTACGACCTGTACAACAATTTTCTTTTTAATTTTACTAGAGATAGCCCCGTCAATTCTTGTTATATTCCACTCCCCGAAACACCCCTAAAAATGGTTGCCAATCTATGGGCCCAGGTCTAGATGTAGCCCCTCGCCTCTATACGAAAAATGCAAACAAGTTGAGGGTTTTTGTGAACGAAATCCCCCGAGTGGAAAGCCACAAGTCACAAAATGCTTGATCTCCAGCAATATTTCTGCAATCTGTCCCAAGTACAGGCCGAATTACCCGCAAGATCACAAAATACTGATTACTGATTCCAATCTCGGAATACTGCGATTTATTTAGAACGGCTTTTCACTGGAAAACTTTGCCATGCATCTCATGTACACAATGGGCCGGATTTAGCCCATTCAATTGGGGTAATCCTATATGATAGCACTGCCCGGCTGCGATTTTTTTTTTCTCCCAAACGACATCCGCATATGGGTGTACGCTATGGCGTTTTGGACTTTACTTTTGTAAAAACATGAGAAGAAAAATTAATATAAAATTAGAAGAAAAAAAATGAATTCGAACGTTATGAGATTCGGACTTTATTACCCTGTTAACAAAATCCTCCAAAGCCTCAGGTTAGAAAAGAAAAAAAATTGGGTACAAAACGGTGATTCGAACCCGCAACCGTCGCGGTGCAAAATGACGACCTGTATCGACGGAGCTATCGCACTGCTCGCCAAATTGTGGGGAAAAAAATAATTAGATACCTGCGTACGTATCATGAAAGTATCGTAGGCCTACTAGGGCACTTAACAACCATGTATGCGGATTGCCGATGTAGTTTGGGAACTGAGAAAATTCGCTGCCCGGCTCTCGATATTTTCACCAGCCTAAACCAGTTTAAGACACAAGCAGGTAACAACTAGTCAATAAAACTAGTCAGCGAGAAAGGTGACTGGAAGGAGACTAGCTAGGCAGATACAATGGGGGGATATTACTCAACAATATCTACGTAATTATGAAGGTATCTAGAATATAACAGTCTATGTTCATGCAATTCTTACCAAGCATTTGTTCCTGTTAATGCAAGCAGGGATGATGCCCAGGATACCAGTCACCACGAAAAACTGTATAATTGAAGGGACAAAGAAGTTTGGCCGAATCAGATAAAGAACCAAATGATAATAAATCAATCAAGCAGCATCAACATTGATAACAGTGATAAAACTGCAACTTAAAAATAACTGTGCATACAATTGGGCGAAAAAAAGGGCCATCACTTTTAATGGTACCGGGACTGTAAATCTAACTTGATAGCTTGAACACTCTGATTTGTTGAACGTTAGGTCATGTTGTTCGCCTGGCATTAAAGTTGCAAATTACAGCCTTGGAAAAAAAAACTACTACATGTATATGGTACGGAACTCCTAAAGGGGCACTCAATTTGTTTTTAATTCATGCGTTCGAATTATTGAAAATTGAATGTTCTTTAGTGGTTCTTTATTACGGCCACGTTGTGCCTAGTCTTTTAGAACCACATTCATTATAAACCACGAAAATCTTTGAGTTTTTTTCACGATTTCCTTGTGTAAAATAAACACCTAGGCCTACCACAGTTCCAGTCCAGACCGCCCAACCGGAATTAAACCACGCGCTCTCAACGAAGATGGCTGCAATGCCGAGCCCGGTGGTTATACCTCCGAGGATCAGCTGGACGATGGAGGTCCCGACTAGACCGGGCACTCCATGGGGTATCCTGGCCGCTCGACGCCGGCCGTAGCCTGCTGCGTTGGCCGGACTGTTGACCTGGGTTACTTGCATGGTACTTTGGGGAAGAGAGGAGAGGGTGGTTAGGGGTGGTGATCAGAGGGTCAGGGGTTCGAATCCTGCCGTTGGCAATAAGTTGTGTTCTTGACTTCTTGGGCAAGCAGATTCACCCCAACTCTCCATCCAGGAGTATTAACCAGTTCGCGGCGGATAACACGCACTTGCTGGGTTTTTTTTCACATATAGGCACGGCTGACGGGTTTAAGACGTCAAGAGTGCCTTCTACTCGCCTCCGGGTGAAGTCTTAAAAAACTAATCCCTCGTGCCTTTTACACACAACACATAGAAAGTCCATGAAGTCTGTTGAGGCGGACCGTGTGTTGATCTTGAATTGGCCGTTGTGCACGGCCTATTGTTGTACAATTTATGCTCCAGTGCACACCCAGAGGATTGAGACATGATTATAATCATGACCTATAGGTCTTGGCGAGAAATATCGTACCAATACGGTTAAAAATACTCTTGCGAATGATGCGTTTTGGCTGTATATCAGAAGTTGGCTGGCAAATTTTGCAAAAATAATCCCGGCGCGAAGTGGTTAATGTGAACCGACATAAGCTCTCCAGACCGCAGTGTCCCTTTAATGGTGCTACTTACTACAAAACATGAAAACAATAAAGCGAGTATTTTGGCAGAATATGATACCAACTAATATCGGTCCTCCAAATAACAAACTTAAAGATTGTGCATTTGAGTTCAGAAATATTCATCAAGGTTTATACTGGTACTGGTTCTATTATAAACCATGACGAACCAGGTTATTATGAAGAGTAGTAAACAGCAAGAGAAATAAAACGAATATATTTTACAGAACAAATATCCAAAGATATCCGAGTTACAAGTTTAGTAAATTACCAACTGATACTGCCTTTGCGTTTAGCGATATTCCTTACTGTTATACTGGTTCTATTCTAAACTTCACGAGAACTAGTAACAAGCAAGAGAAATACGAGATAAAATGAATACATGTATATTGGACAGAATCAAAATATAAGAGTTTAAAAACTACTTACATTCTTATGGTTGGTGCCTTTTCGTTCAGAGATGTCCCAGACGGGTTGTAAAAATCTCAACTGTGAAGATATCACGAATGAAGTCCGCAAACATGGCGTGGGTCACACTTTGAACTTGACGTACATTGGTTAATATTTAAACCAAATCTCTTTGTCATAATCTATTGCACTGTTTATACAAGACTATAGGAACGGGGCAAGTGGTTCACGTGCATATGACTATAATCTCGTCCCCATGGCAGTACGCTCCCACTCAACGCTCTCTCCTGTAAACAAGGACGAACATCAAGTGGACCCGGGAAATGAGGTTGCGTTTGTACTTTACCCAAGGTAATTACCGTGGAGTCCAAAAATAGGCCTATATGAATACAAAAGTAATTGCAATAATACGTCGATCACGTAACTACTCATCTGACCATTCAGCGGGAGCCTTGCATCGGGTTTTCCGCAACCCGTTGTTGTTTTACAAAAACATTGACCAATCAACAGCTTAGTTCACGTTTCTGATCGAAATGACGTCACAGTTTCTAAAGTTGATTCCGATTGGCTGGGGATCGGGTTCGCGTGAAATGTGCCTAAATCTGCTCGCATGACTGTCTGATCTCCGGGCACGGTTGTCTTGCAATGACAAATTACGAAATTATGAAGTTTAGTAGCCCGTTTCGGATGAGCCCGTTTTCTATTTTGAGCCTCGAGACAAGCCAAAAAATCGAGACCGAAGGGGACCGAGACCACACTCTCCCGAGACCAGTGGTGACCGGTCTCGAGACCTACAACACTGTTCTGGAGCCAACTCGCATAAAGTGATAGCGGCTTACTTATTACATTCCACGACTTGAACCGACTTAACAAATGGACATGGGAAAAAATCCGCAAGGTGTATCACATGCCAAGCACACTGATTCCTAAAAACGTAACGGGCAAAACAAAACATATCTTATGCGGTTATCAACTCCTCCAAAAAAATGCACAATCAAATAAAATTGAAGACATTATTCCTCGACTGAAAAAAAGGGAAATAACCGCGTTCTTCTTCGGTGGTAATATGAAAGGGGAAAAGAAAATAGACGTTAAAAACACCTCGATTGACCTTTACACCGAAGTTGGGTTTATTGCTCCACAGTCATCTTGCATAATCTGAGAAAACATGGTGAGATATATATCAGGGATGGTTGCATAGTGAAAACCAGTAAAACTTAATAACAATTTAAAATAAAAATTGGCATGGTAATCACTTTAATAGAATTCTTATAGAATCTACAGTTTCTCCCGTATCGAGTTCTTTTTATTTATTTCATACAGGAAAAATGGTTCCGTACCGTCTCTGTAGCGACAAATTCGCCCCCCCCCCTCCCCCTACATACCCACTCGGGGAGGGGGTTTACCAATTTCTAAGGGACAATCAATTTAAGGGGGAAATGAAACTTTGAAGAATGCTTTCCACTACATCGTTTTCAGACACGGGAGTGAATGCGACGATTATTTAAAACTACACATTCCTAAGTTTTAAATAATCATCGCATCCACTCCAGTGTCTGAAAACGATGAAGTGGACCGCATTCTTCAAAGCTTCACCCCAGCCCTATGTTTCCCCTTCTTCCGTAAAAGACATACATGTACAATGCATACAGCCTCGATCGGAATAGATTTGCCAACCAGAGATAACACATATCACTCAATAATACCCAATGAGGACAATTTTTTACTCTGCCCATGCTATGCTATAAAAGAAAAGTACACGTACATAGGCGATATCTGAAAATGAAACCGGAGTACAAAGGCACAGAACGATAAAACAAACTCTACCTGGTTATGATACTTTCAAAGGTGAACGAAAAAACTTGACCGGAGCGGGGTTTGAACCTGCGGCCTTCGGAAAACCGTATTGATGCTCTACAAACTGAGCTTTTACGCCTTTACGTTGCCTATCCCTAATTTATTGTCGATCGCTTTGCTCAACGGCACTATATATTCAGAAGCCATTAACCTGTTTATGCCATGCAGTAGGGATCACGCAAAATCACTGAGTTTTTAGAGGATATAAACCACAAATGGAAAACTGGCTACGTGCATGCATCTGTTCAGTTCCTTTGTGGTTTATTTTGAGGGGAAAAAAAGGTAAAAAATGAACACCTGTTACGGTTCTTTGACATATTAGTGCATATATATACATGTAAATGTAAAATGGTCATCTTACTACTCTCAAAATTTAAAACAATGTACATCCTTTTTTTCTAATACTTATCTCAGGCCACAATGTCTTAAAATTATTCATTGAAAATTGTAACACAACAGTCATTAAACATTTACTGATTTCCTAAAATCAACTTTTTAACACAATCACGTACCATTTACAAATACACTTCACAAGTATATACATTTCAAAGTCTGGCAGCAAGATTTTCAGAAATTTCAGAAACATGAATACCTGTATTACAATAAATTATTGGAAAACATCAATTCTCATACCTGTATGTACGCACATGTCTGTTACATCCCAAGTAAAGCACCGTCCCAATTGCAGTTGGGATTGCCCCAACTATAATGTGGACTGGTTGGGGCCTGGCCTAACTCTAGTTGGGGCTGTCCCAACTATAGTTGGGCGACAGCAGTAGTTGGGTGTAACATGTCCATAATCTCCAACACAATGCAAACTTTTGAGTTGGCAAGATCCCAGAAATGGCACTCGTAAGAAGAACAGGCAGATTTAAGAGATACAAAATAAGGAAATGTGAAAGTCAAAGGCTAAAAAGTGCATAGTAGAGCTGCTCTAGCTGTGTACATGTATGTTTCATTTTCTAAATGTTGAAACTCACAATTCACCAATGTTTTAAACATTTAAATGGAATGGCAACGAAACACTGTACAACACAGCACTACTAATCAGTATATTGTACATAAACCAGTTAAAAAACTGTACTTGATACCTGATAAAGCATTCAAATGAAAATTATGCCATTGTCTTCACAGATATCACAGACAAACTGCTATGTGTTTTGTGGAAATAAAAAAATCTCAATAAAAATCATCTGTCCAGATTAGATTCAAAAAGGAATTTTTTACCGATTCATTGCAAAAACCTAGTTTCCTTTGCATGAATTTAGTTTAAATATCTAAAAATTAAAATCACAGCTTGAAAGAAAAATGATATTAAACTGAAATATTTTGAAGGACTTTGAAGCGTGGGTGCTAAATCTATGGGCAAAAGTGTTTATAGGCAAAACTTAATGGGTTTTGAAGTGCAAAAGACTAGGAGCGTTACTGCAGGTAGAACAGAACAGAATTAAAGACACATGAAGCAGAATACCAACACAATGGCATAAATTTAAGTGATACTAGAACTAGTACTCTGTAGTTGTCTAAATGCATTTTGTCTGAGTTGTTCATCTTTTTTTTGCGTGCTGAGCCCGCCGTTTTAAATCGGTCCTATTGCTAATGATCAACATACATGTTACGATCCAACTAGGACAACAGTCGCAAATATGGTTGGGACAGTGCCAACTATTGTTGGGACAGTCCAACAATAGTTGGGGAGTTCTTAACTATAGTTGGGATGATCCTTACTGTAGTTGGGATCATCCCAACTTTAGTTGGGACAATATTTGGGACGTAACATCTATTAAGACCACTGCATATTCCCCAATCAATTAGCTTTGGTTTTCTTCTTCTTAGGAGTCTGTTTCTTGGCTTTAGATTTTTCTCGCGGGCTTCCGTCCTTGATAACTTTCTCATTTTTTGGCGCAGGGATGTCTTTTTTGGTCTCTTTTTCGTCGGAGGCGTCCGAACTTCTTCTCTTTTTCTTCCCGGCATCGTCTGGAGATTTGCTCTTCCCGGAGAAGATGGTGAAAAGCATCTGGACCACGACCATAAGGGATGTCGCGATCAGCGTTGCGGCCCGAGCGACCGGGTCCCCGAGGACGATATGGGTGTGGATCATGAAAGCTGCTGACAGGAGAACAATGAGCTGCGAAGCTGGTAGAGACAGTCGCCCCGACAACAACACCATCCCCGTCCCTCCAGCGATCTCCATCCCGCCTACAAACTGCCGATAGTCCGAGGCTTTGAAACGCTTGTCAAAGTATGTACGGAGCGGCGCTACCCGGGCATAGTTGACAAAATGCTTTTTCTGAAGAAAAAACACAAAATTTAAACATGAACATGGTCAATACAAATATTTACGTGATTTGTTTAGTATTCTAGCATTTTATTGAGAACAGCCTGCAATTTTCCACATCCCAAGGAAAGAGTTCCATACGTACTGGACATCAATCGAAACCCTGTGAATAAACAGTATGAGACGGGTCTGAAAAATTCCAAGTGTGTTCTCTGTAAACGCTTCAATATTTTCCATGCTAAATTTGACATGTTGTTATCGCTTTCTAATGGCTTTTATAGGTCACTGCAGGGAAAAATTAGTGATGTCCATGTATTATGATAGTGAATATATTGCCGGCGGCAATACCTATCAACAGAGGGCGCTGTACTCTCTAAGATAGGGCTGAATGATAAGATATATTAAATTACCACCAATGATTGTGTAGCACCTGTGGCCTGTATAGTTGATAAGCAACAAATCTCATGATTGGAAGACCTGGGTTCGATCCCGATCCCCGCTTGCGACATTTTAAAGATTTTCCCCCCCCATCCCAAAAAATAAGAATAGCCTATTCTTCTTTTATTATTTTAACATGTCTCAAACATTTTATTACTTTTTCTTTTTCAGATTTGTGGCTCTGGAGGATTTTTTTAAAGGGGAATAAAGTCCGAAATTGTAAAATGGTCTGATTCCCATCTTGTGAATACGAAGTTACAACGATAATGTTGGCATGGAGCCAGACTAAAAATTTAACTGAACTTGTTGTGCCCATTCTTGAAAATCACGCATTCTCGAGAATGGGCATGCACATTCTTGAGAATGTGCAACTGGATCCTTGCTCAATCTTGGCAAAAAAAAACTCTTCCAGATTGAGCGCACATTCTTGAGAATGCGCGACAAGATAACGGTCTTGTCGATGCCGAGCACCGGCTGCGCTTGGCAAGTCTAGCTGAATCCTCGTTCACTGATTCTCAATAATTATACTGTTGCAACACAAGGCACTGAAAAGTAGAGTGGATATGATAAGTAAAGGCGTATTGATATGGGGGGGGGGGGGACCGGGAAAAAATAAGAGACATAATAATACTAGTGCAAAGAATTCTGATTTTTGGGATAATAAAAGCGGGGGGGGGGGGAGGGGGGGGGGACGTAAGAATAAAGAATGTGAAGAATGAGAATGAATACTGTGACATCCCATAGTGCTAATGCTATTTCCCATTTAAATTGCCACCAATTTATTGTTCACATCCCACCATAACGTCGCAGAGCTGGATTCTATCTAGTCAAAAGAGCAATTTTGGCAGCTTCTGGACATCGTTTTTTTTTCGTGGCACGCATATGATACATGCAGGGACTTGTAACTTGTCTAGCCTAAACAAAGCACTTCCCAGACTAGTTCCCAGTCCTCCGTTATTACAAAACTTCCCATAGTGGGCAGAAAAAAGCAATAATAACAGGTTTAATTTGATTCAAATTATCGTAGTTATACGAGTACAGAAGCATAGAACATTTTCTTTCCTCTTTATATGAATTGTTTCCCTTTTAACCGCTATACAATTCATTTAACATAATTATGTCGTGCAATGTTTGTTAAGATTGGGCAAAATTCATAAATTGTGCACGTGATAATCCCACCCAATCTTAAGAATGAGCGCTCGTTCTTAAGAACGCGTGCTCGTTCTTAAGAATGGGCGCTCATTCTTAAGAATGCGCGCCCATTCTCGAGAATGTGCATGCCCATTCTCGAGAATGCGTGATTTTCAAGAATGGGCACAACAAACTCACCATGTTCGAATGCAGGTCGGCGTTTAACATCGGATTCAGTTTTGCAAAGCCGCTGTAGATGAAGAACAATCCCAGCACTGTGGCGATAAACATCATCGTGTGCCTGGCCATTTTTTCTTGCTTTTTAACGAGAAATATTCAACTACAAATGAAAACTGATGGGCACCCTTTGTGTTATCGGCCAGCTAGTTATATGGTGGCTGCGTGAAGGTAGCTCGATATTCGGCCCACTGCACTGTTCAGACGCTCGTTGAAATCCAGAATCCATGCAAAGAAAGGAGATCCAAACTTGTACTGTTTACACGTTTACTACGGATGTGGTTCTCCCTTTGGTGCATGGATTCTAGATTAAATGCGAGTCTTAATGTGCGGCTGAATCGCTGGTAGTGAGCCGAATTTGAAATTTTGGGCTGAGTCTCGGTCTACCTTCAAATCAATGTGACCTTTGACCTAATGCCATGTGCTCGCATACTTGCCCTTGATGATCACTGTGTGGTGATCTACAGCGTTGTCTATCTTCTCAAGAAGCTTGTTAAATAACATGTTGTAAGTGGCATATTGTGTTGATTATGATGTAGCAGTAACGTAAAAGTTCGGATGTATCTAATTTTGCAGTTAATTTTTTCCGATCTAATTTTATTGATGTTACTTTTAGCCTATTTATTTGGGGGACCGACAAAAACGACATTGACATGATTGAAAAAGGTGTTGGTAATGGTAGGCCCTAAGGCTATAGCCTAGCAGTAGCACATATCTTTTAGATAGTGGATATATTGCCAGCGGTAATCCCGGAAAGTTAATGTTTACTAAAGGTTTGCCGGCGGCAATCCTTGTCAACAGAGAGCGCTGTACTCTCTAAAATAGGGCTGAATTATTAAGATGTATTATATTATTATTATTACCACCAACGGTTGCTGTTCCGACTTTTTGAGACGCTCCCTAAAACTCCTGTTTTTTCTTTGTAGATATGATCTTGCAGATGATAGTCTAGTTTCACCATGGGGCTGACGAAACAGTATCTCCGCTACTCACAGAGTGCGACATTTGGCGTAGTAGGCACTCAGAAGGCCAACGTCTTGTTCGTTGAACTCCGCGGTGTCCGGGGGAAGTATGCCGCCACCGCAGCCTGCGAACACGTCTTTGTGTGGGACTTGCGCAAATCTGAAAAGGTGAGTGTAGAGTACGAACCAACGATTATTTTTTTTCCCAATTTTTAAAGGGAATATTGTCGCATCAGTGCAACAAGTTCGTAAAATTGATTCTGCAACAAAGTCGTATCTCGCGTGGATACGCTCAGTGCAAATTGATAAAAAAATACCACTTTTCTAGAAAATTGCACACCAGGTGCCATGATTTTACAGGATGCTTGTATTTTTTATAGACTGTCATTCACTAACAGTCCAGTAAAGTATTTCATAATAATTTGGTAGTTGTTTTTTGATGTTTGCAAATGTTGTATTTTCCCTTTAAACTATGAAAGATTTGGCGTCCGCTTTTAATGGCACTAATTTGTTGGCGTTCTTTTTCTACTAGATGCTGGTCCTGCAGGGTGACAAATCTGAAGTCTCCGTTTTGGCCAAGAGTCCGCAGGGCCAGATCTTGGCCGTAGGCTACGCCGATGGAATGGTCAAGGTCTTCAGCCTTACTACAGGGGAAGTGACCGTCACGTTCAGCGGTCACAAGTCGGCCGTCACGGCGCTCAGCTTTGATCAAAGGGGGCTCCGACTAGCGTCAGGTTCCAAAGTACGAAAAGATTTGAAATAAAATAATTTCATTTTTACACTATAATTGTCTATCATCATCATAATTTATGTCCTCGTCATAATTTATGCATCCCTATGAGAATTGTTTTCGTCTAGAACACTTATTTCTTTTTGTAATCCGTGGACAGAACTTTAAAACGGTGTTTGTATTCAAAATTCCGTAACTTGAATAGTACATGAGTGATTTGAATGATTCTTGTACTAAAAGAAAGCTTAATGATTGGGCTTTTATATCCTAGATTTTGAAAGTGCTACAGGCAAAACTTGATTCAAAAGCATTCAGGTTTCATTTTTTTTTACTCGCCCTGCATTTCTCAAGCCTTAATTTAATCTTGTTTTTTTATTCAGGACACAGACGTGATCATATGGGACGTGGTTAACGAGAGTGGTCTTTACCGACTCAAAGGCCACAAGGGAGTGGTCACCCAGTGTCAATTTATGAAAGAACGCAACATTCTCATCACAAGGTACGGCAATAAATAGATCAGTTGCTTGATCAGTCACAGACAGTCAAAACTTTCTTCCACTTCCCCTGCCATGCATTTGTATACAGACTAGTAAAAAAAAGTCGGATCACATTCATGTAAACACCGTGACTAGTCAAATTCCATCGACAGACAAAAGATGTAACTGGTAGGTACAGCTGGCATATCAATCACCTCCAGTCAAAGCATGGCTGTGTTGAATTAAGAAGGGAGTTCTTAACGGTTGAAAACAGTCACTTGATTGATTTTGACTGCTGTGATGGCGTAGCTGAATATTGTCAGCCAGAGAGGGAGGGTTAGTCAGTTGATTGATAGATCTACAAATTGATCAATCATCTATCAATCAATCAAGTTATTAATCAGTTAATCAATCAGGCGATCAATAATTCTGCCTCTAGATTGATCAATCAGCCATTCATTTAATTGAGTAATTTTTTTTTCCCTTTCAATATTTTTTTTTTGATAACCTAAAGTGTTAGGGTCATCAAACATGTATTGGTGTATTATATTTCAGTTCGAAAGACACTTTTGTCAAGTTCTGGGACATGGACACCCAGCATTGTTTCAAGACGCTGGTTGGTCACAGGACAGAGGTAAGTTCTTTCATTGTTGATATCTAACAGATGTGTACATTTACTGTGGCTTCAGTGACGTGTTTAACCAGTTTGCGCCGGGGTTATTTTGACAAGAACGGACGATGCACGGAATTTCGATCTCAAGCCAGGCGGGTTGAAGCCATCACCCTCGGGCAGCACACTCATATTTCCGGCCTCGCTCGCTGCGAGCGGGTCGCTGACAGGTACTTCCGGCCTCGCTCCCTGCGTGTTTATCTGTCATCCGTTCCAAATACCGCCAAAAACTTTTGTCTGTATACACGGCCTCCGGCGTGAACTGGTTAAAAACAATATCAACAAACTAAATAGTCTTTCAACTGCATAACTACAAACAATCCATTAAACTGATCAACGATTTGTTCAATCCATTAAGCTTTTTTTTTTCAGGTGTGGGACTTTGTTCTCTTAGGTGCTGACCAGAGGCTAGTGACTGGGGCGGGGGACAGTGAGCTCCGAGTCTGGGATATAACCTTCCAAGATGAGGTGAAGACCATCGACATATTGCTATTTCACCTCAAAGATTATCGAGTATTCATTTACAGAGCATTTGGCAATGGGCTCCATGCGCCAACAAAAGAGGGCGCGTTTTCACTACCTTAGAGCTCCGTGGATGGGACACACAGCATGTGCGTACTGTACTGGTTCGCGCGTGAAGTATGCACGACTTCCTGAATGTGCCAAAGCTATTAGCCACAGCGTATTCGCGTGAGCGTCAGGCGTCGTCGGCGAGCGAATGCGTTCGAATTTAACTTGATGGTCTTTCAGACTAATCCCTGCCCCCAATAACTTTGGATCATTGGAAATACGCAGTGGATGGACTGGGAACCAGTCTAGGTCTCTTCCAACTCTCCTTTTCTGGCCGTTGAGGGGGTACTTGCGCACGGAACCCATAGAGCATTCATGTTGACCGCAAACCAGCATGAATTTACAGGAATTACGGTACTTCTGGACTATGGAGTGCCCAACTTGTATTTAATTTTTAAAAATTGATGGGTGATTTTCAAGAAAGCACACTTTGTATGGCCTGCCAAATATGGCAATAAATTGAAAGTTAGTAAATATCGTTTCTCGAGATATCATTTCTGATAGAAACGATAGACCACATCCTAGATTGTTTGTGTCCGTCTTTGTATTTGGTTTGCAGCTGATGTTCTTTTTCATTATTCATTAGGATCAAAGAAAGATACTTTTGTAAATTAACCGTTGTACTTTTGCTTTGGAATTACATCTCAATAGGAGTCCAAAGAGGGCGCCGAGCAGCCAGCTAAGAAGCAGAAGTTGTCCTCCATCGTTCATGACGAGGAAGACGAAGAGGAAGAAGAAACGGTATTCTTAACAAAAGAAAATCATATTTTTGACTAGTCTTATCACATACCCAGTGTTGTAGGTAGGCTTTCTTCAGTGGGGGTTAGGGTTAGGGGTGGTGAGTTTGTTTCTGCATTCAATAGGGGATGTTAGACAATAGAGGACAATAGGGTCCCCAATTCCCGAAGGTCCCCAATTTGGCGATCATGTACAAAACATATGGGAGGTCTTCCTAAAAAGTTAAAGTACAAACAAAAGAGGGACAATAGGGGTATGTCCCTGGTTGCAGGCAAATACACACTGATGTGGGTTGGTGGGGGCAAAGGGTAGGGGACGACAGCATCTTTTGGGGGGCATCAGCGACTCGTCTCATGGGGGACTTCAAGGGTGGATCAATAAGCCAATTTGCTTTTTGAACTGTACTTTTTGCTTTTTAGTGCTATAATTGTACCACACAGAAATTGGCAGTTTATAAATCGAGCACTATGGCTTTTTTTCATTCGAAAAAAAGTTTAATTTCGTTCTTATTTTATTTTGGAAGAGCATTCTCAGTTGCAAGTGTGTGGGGTCCATCGTGCGTAAAGGTCGTCAGCGAGCCGTTTCTCTAACAATCGACAGTGCAGGAAGGGTGCTGTGTTGTCATGTAAGTAGACTAATGAAATCTGTCCAACACAGTTGAACGATCTTTTTATGAATGAATAACTGCTGTGCGGAAATGTTGAAATACGATATCAGAAGTTTGCCTTTATAAAACTACAGGTAGAGAACGGGAAGTCAATATTCAGACCAATATGTAAAATCCTAAGTCTGCAGGTCAGTTTCAGGTGAAGGGATATGAAGTGTTAAAATAACTGTGTCACACAGAGAGTCACTGCACACAAAAACAGCACTGTGGAGAACAGTGAAGGGTAACTGAATCTGCCTGCTTGCCCTGAGCTTCACCACACACAAGAATTGTGCAGGGATTTGAAGTGTTATCCATACACCACAGAAGATTACCTGGAAAGAATAATGCAACCTGGCGCCACTTCAGCGGTTGTGTTTGTACAAAGTTTATGGAGAGTCAATTAAAATTCTAAGCATTTCCTAACAAAATTGGAAAAAGTTTCTAAGTCCGATATTCATGTCTTATCATCATTTTTGCAATGACTGACCTTCATTGAGATGATATATGAAGAAAAAAGTGGCGTCAGGTTGCAACATTCTTTTCGAATACCTCAAAGGAATTTGAAGTGTGGGTGCTAACTCAATGGGCAAAAGTGGTTTTGCAAAACTTGTAGCATTGTGAAGTACAGAAGACTAAAAGGGTTAGGAATGTGCAAGCATATTTTAGTGGACCCAGAGAAGTTTCTTTATTGCAGTAATTGACTGTAGTTTTGATGTTTACTGACAGGGTGCCGATTGTTGGTTAGAGGTCTTTCTGGTCCTGACTAGCGAAGAGAAGACGAAACTTCTCAGTAAAAGACAGAAGAAAGCTAGAAAGAAGAGCAGGTTTGTAAGAGGCAATAGAGTTTGTATTAATCAGTTCACGCCGGGATTATTTTGACATTGACCAGACCCAGACGCGGGGTTGTTTTTCACGAACCTCGATGCCAGACGGGTTCAGGCCGTCATCTGTGGGTAGCACACCCTGATATTTCCGGCCTCGCTTGCTGCAAGCGGGTCGCTGACATATTTCCAGCCTCGCTTGGTGCGTGTTTATCTGTCATCCGTTCCGACATGAACTGGTTAAGTTGACCTCAAAAACCTGCAAGATGTTACGAGAATACACCATATGTATGGGATTCACAATGTGTATGACGCTCTATTTTTTGCATTTTTTTTTGTTCTGACTGGGCCCATCAAATCAAGGGCAATAAATGGGTGCTTCGAAAGAAAAGAAAGCATTACAATTCACAACATAGTGAAAATATTGCGAATTGATGACTATTACAGAATTAAAAATGTTAACCTCAACTTCTGTTCAGTCAATCACGCAGATAACAAGTGGGTAAATTCAAACACGGCAGTCTGTGACTAGACTAGTCAGTGGTTGGTACCAAAACGTTCACAGAAAAAGTGAACGTGGACTGGCGAGACTTACAAGCTCTATATTCGAGAGAGGCAGATGAGGAGAATGTTCCAATATTTTTTTGACTTTTGTATTCTGCAACTGATGACTTTCTAGGGAAAGTGTAACGAACGGAGAAAACAACGAAGAAATTCCAGAGTTGCTGGCAGTGAAAGATGAAATTCAGCCTCGCTGCGTTCTGAAAGCTTCCAGCAAAATACGGTAAGATTCGTGGTCATTGTGACTATTGAATTGATTGAGTAGAAGTTCGTGCACTCAGGGACCAGCTTTACTAGGATTGCCTTGTCCTGTTTCACCGTCAGTTGACCTTTGAACTTTACTCTCTCCCCTTAGGTCATTTGCGGCCATCTTAGAGAACGATGCCACAGCTGTCAAGCTCGTCTTGCAGCTGCACAACAACTCGCTAGAGACCCACATCTTCCAGTCCTTAGAGGGCAGACATTGGGATGCGGAGAAGCAGGGCGCGGTCGCCCTCCCCGGTCACCGGTCAGATGTGCGGACAGTAGCCTTCAGCTCGGACAACACCACCGTGCTGACCGGCGCTGGCGAGTCCGTCAAAATCTGGAACAGGTGAACTTGTAAAACTTTAACGTGACGTGTTGATTTTGCTGGAATCAGCCAAGAGAACATGAGATACTTGTTTAAATATCTACTGTTTTTACCGTGATCATTGTACTCTCTGGGGGAGTGTGGCCTAGTGGTGAGGGTTTGTGACTCATGATCAGGGTCAGGGGTTCGAATCCAGCTGCTGGTCTTATGTTGTGTCCTTGTGCAAGCCACTTCACCCCACTTGCCTCTCTCCACCTAGGAGTATAAATGGGTACCGACATTAGCTGGGGAGTAACCTACGATGGACTGGCAGCCCATCCAGGGGGAATAGCGTTTCATGGAAAAGAAACTGGAGATAAACGCTGGCCTATTGCTGTTGTACTCTCTGTGTTTGCGAATCCTGACAATTGCATTGTCTTTTAAAGATTTTTGTCTGTATGTGTGGCAAGTGAAAATGTTCTCATTGGCCTGTTTTGACTTTTTTCCTTAGAGCGACCCAGCAGTGTATCCGATCCATGAAGTCTGGCTACGCACTCTGCTCTGCCTTTGTGGTCAGTGAAAGGCACTGTGTGATAGGCACAAAGGTACGTGGCTTTAGAGACCAGTAGCCTATGTTAGTTAATGAATCTAAGACAGCACAGGACTCATTCTTCACAGAAGAAACCCTCAGCAAACCCAGTAAGCATAGAAGAAACCCTCAGCAATCCCAGTAAGCACAGAAGAAACCCTCAGCAAACCCAGTAAGCACAGAAGAAACCCTCAGCAAACCCAGTAAGCACAGAAGAAACCCTCAGCAAACCCAGTAAGCACAGAAGAAACCCTCAGCAAACCCAGTAAGCACAGAAGAAATCCTCAGCAAACCCAGTAAGCACAGAAGAAACCCTCAGCAAAGCCAGTTAGCACAGAAGAAACCCTCAGCAAACCCAGTAAGCACAGAAGAAAACCTCAGCAAACCCAGTAAGCACAGAAGAAACCCTCAGCAAACCCAATAAGCACAGACGAAACCCTCAGCAAACCCAGTAAGCACAGAAGAAACCCTCAGCAAACCCAGTAAGCACAGAAGAAACCCTCAGCAAACCCAGTAAGCACAGAAGAAATGTGAATCCTGCTGCTGGCCATGTGTTGTGTCCTTGGGCAAGCCACTTTACCCCGACTTGCCTCTCTCCACCAAGGAGTATAAATAGGTACGAGAATGAGCTGGGAAGTAACCTGTGATGGACTGGTATCCCATCCAGGGGGAATAGAAATGGAAAGAAATGGAGCTTTTTTTTTTTTTTTTTTTTGAAATGATAGACGGGCCACCTGGAGTTGTTTGACATTGCAGCGGGTGTTCTGCTGGAGAGAGTCGAGGCACATGAGGGCGCCCTTTGGTCCATCGCCACATCACCAGACAAGGTGAATATTTTTTTGTTAATTGTCGTATTTGTTTTCTTGGCACTCTAAACTGAATACTAGTACAAACGAGTCACTTGGAACATATCGCAGATGTTAGATTTAAAATTTTATCATGAAAATTCTTCTGATTTAACCCAATAAGTATTTATCGCACACCTTTTCAGCACCATCGTTCGGGGAAATAAATCCAGTATCTATCAACTATCTATCATGAAAAATGATATTTCTGTTTATTTTGTACCCAACTTTTAAATTTTTTTTTATTTTAGTTTCAGTATAATTTTTGACTTGACTTAGTTCTATTTAACTCTAGTTTCAAGAATTTAAATGTTGCAAGCAATGTCATTTCTGAAAATGCTGGATTACTGTTCACATACACATTTTTTTTTTAAAAAGAAGTATGTTGCAAAGTGTAAGCTTAAAAGTATCAACTTTTTACACTACAATTGAAATATCTTACCAATCCTAGTAATTTTACAAAGTCATTCATTGAAAGCTCAAGACAATCTTTCCGTTGAACTTTTTCTTGTCCAACAGAGAGGTTTTGTTACAGGCAGCGCAGACAAGACCCTCAAATTCTGGGATTTTGAGCTAATCAAGGACGAAGATGCCCAGTCTAGCAAACGACTGACGGTAGTCCACAGACGTACCTTACAGATGCCAGACGACGTTCTGTGCGTCAAGTTTACGCCAGATCAGAAACTGATAGCGGTGGCTCTACTAGACTCCACCGTTAAGGTCTTCTTTGCTGACACTCTTAAGGTAAAACTTTGAAACCTTTTGTTTTGCAAATCAATGTCTTTTTCTTACTCTTCCAAATAAGTTAAACCTCTAAGATGCTGGAAAATCCACAAGGAACTCTTGGAGGAATTTGCATGACTGAGGTAGTTTTAAGCACCAAGGATGTGCCAGTCCTATGTCACATTTGTTACGATCCTTTATACAAATAGAACAACATTCAAGGAAAGATCCTACAAAGATCCCGAAGAGTTAGGGTTAATAAAAAAAAAAGTAGCAATTGTAGAAAAATTCTGGTTAAAATTGAAGGACCAATCTGTCCATTTCTTGTCATAAAAAAAAGTATCTTTTCATTGCCATCAAGATCTCAATTCTTCTCCCATTTGCACTGTTGGGAGCCTATCATTCAATTTTGCTCATTTTTGTAAAAGAATTGAGTGTAAAATGTCGCCATTTCTCTGCGAGTTAAAGCTGATTCGTAACTTAATGTTTAAATTTGTTCCAGTTTTTCCTGGCTTTGTACGGACACAAGCTGCCTGTGTTAGCAATGGATATCTCATCAGTAAGTGAATATATTACTCATACTGATTTATCATGATTGATTTATTGTGAAAAATCATGATTGTGCTGTTAATCTATAAATACTTGAGGCAAGCTTACATACTTGTTGACTGTCATTCTACTGGTCCCAGAGGGCAAGCCTAGTGTGCTCTTTGCAAATGTCTGACTGACTGTCTTACTGACTGTCGATGGTGACTTTGCCTGGTGGTTGGCTGGTGAAGAGAGCCAGGCAGTGCTATTGTATAGGATTACCAATTAATGACCTAAACCTGGCCCATTGTGCACACCAGGTGCATGAAAACTTCCTGTGAAAAGCCAATCTCCATCAATTTAATAGAAATGTGTTTGCTGTTTGACCAGCTTTAGATAGCACTCACCTTGTCTTGTTTTCCTGTCTGGATACAGGACAGTACTTTGATTGTGACAGGCTCGGCAGATCGGAACGTCAAGATCTGGGGGTTGGACTTCGGAGATTGTCACAGGTCCATGTTTGCCCACGATGACAGCATCATGAGCCTTCAGTTTGTACCCAACACCCACTTGTTTTTCAGTGTTGGCAAGGACAAGAAGATCAAGCAATGGGACGCTGATCACTTTGAGCAGATCACAACATTGGAAGTGAGTGAGGTTTCAAAATGGTGGCAGAAGTGGGATCACTTTCCTAAATCATCTTAAATTGTTATGTGATTCAGCATTGAGATGCTGATCACTTTGAGAAGATCACCACATTGGATGTGAATTAGGTTTGAAAATGGTGACAAAAAAATGGGATCACTTTTCCAAATCATCTTAAATTGTTATGTCATTTAGCATTGATGAGATGCTGATTACTAGGTTTAAATGGTGTCGGAAGTGGGATAACCTATCTAACTCATGTTGAGGTGCAGTTTCAATGAGCAGTTGGAACCTGAACTATGAACGGATCAACCACAAAACAGTTTCTGGTTCTCCCTAGTTGTACTCTACACAGTGCAAAGCCTCAAGTGTCATTTATTGATGAGATCGTCATGTTAGAAATGAGCTGGGTTTCAATTGGTGGCAGGAGTGGGATCACTTTTCCAACCCCCCTTAAGTTCGAATTTGATCAAGTAATGGGATGCTGATCACTATCACAAGTCATGGCCTTTAAAAAGGGTTTGAATTCAACAACATCATACTAGTAAAATAGAGCTGAAATAGTAACCAATTGGAATTCACCAACATAGGCAAAGGTGCCTCAGTCAAGAATTTTTTCCAATATTTTTAGTGTTTAATTCTTTTTAAAAATTCCTTTTTTTTGTTCTAGGGCCATCATGCTGAAGTCTGGTGTTTGGCCGTCAGCCCAAATGGAAACTACCTGGTAAGATTCACGAAAAATACGAATAAACTTTCGTCATGTATCATGATTTTATGAAATACTATTATCATGATTTTATGAAATACTATTTTAAAGAATATTTTAGGATATAATAATATAAGGTCATCATTTTAATACTTTCACTATTGCCAATGAGGTCACATGATAATGAACTTTAATAATTCAAATAAAACTTTAAAAAAAATTACCAATGGAAACCTTTCAAATCGTAGGTCTCTGGGTCACACGACAAGTCGCTACGTCTTTGGGAGCGGACCCAGGAGCCTCTTGTTCTTGAGGAGGAGAGAGAAATGGAGAGAGAGAAGGCTGCGGAGGAGGCTTTGTCTCATGAGGAACGACCCACGGTAAGGGAAACGTCTCCAAGAATGTTACAAGCCTTCCACAGGCACTCGGAGAACGCAACCTCCGCCAAGGCTAAACAATTGCCCGCCATATTGTTAGTACATCCAACACGAGGAACTTTGAAAATGCTCAATCATGTTATGAATTCAAAAGGCAGAAACACTCAGTATTTAATATGTTCACTTGTTTAATACAGAATTATTAAGGGCATCTAGCAGAATCGTGGCATTTCCATAGAGTCACTGTTTACATTAGGGGGTAAAACAGGAGCTCGGCAGCCGCGGTGTCTGTTGCGACCAGTGAGCTGGCCTAGTGTATTTATAATAATTTGAACATACATGGCCTGTCACCTGCACTGTGTGCACGGTATCATGGCCCAGAAATCATTTGGACGGGTCCATTATTGTTTGGATTGGAAGGAGTGCCCCAGTTTCATGGTCTATGGCATATTTGTACATAAAAACTGGTGAAGAATCCTTAAAATAAATCCTGCATCCGGATCATGTCCAAAATCTAATCGATTCGTACTTTTACCAAGGACCACCCTCAGAACAAATTTCATGAAAATCCGTCCACAACTTTTTGGGTTATCTTGTTCACAGACAAACCAACGAACACCGATAAAAACATATACCTCCTGGCGGAGGTCATAAAACTCGTTTAATTTGGGATAGCATGCTTTTCTCAATAGAGCAAGAAATTGCTGCTGAAATGAGGGGATGCACAGTGCCACCAATTTTGAACAACAAAACCCACTTTAACCCCCCCCCCCAAAAAAACGCTTTTGTTTCACGATCAGTAGCTAATGAGAATAAACTGGCTAACTGACCAAGTGTTTTGAACAAATGTATGCTATTTGTCTTCTGTGTTGTTGACAGCTCCCAGGTCAGAGGTCAAACAGCGAGGTCGGGGCGGCCGGACGACAGACTGCCGATACTGTCAAAGCTGCCGAACGAATCATGGAGGCTTTGGAGCTGTACAAGGAGGAAACGGCCAAAGAGGAAGAGCACGAGGAAATACGGAGAGCCAGCAAGAAAGAGGTTGGTGACAGACAGGGTGGGGCAGAGGGTGGGGCAGGGGTAGGCAAAGATATAGAGAAAAGAAAATCGTCAGAGCGAAGCATGAAGAAGTACATAAAGTTAGCAAGAAAGGGGTTGGTGTCAGACGGGGTGGGGGAGAGGGTGGGGGAGAGGGTGGGGGAGAGGGTGGGGCAGGGGTAGGCAAAGATATAGAGAAAAGAAAATCGTCAGAGCGAAGCATGAAGAAGTACACAATGCTAGCAAGAAAGGGGTTGGTGTCCGACGGGGTGGGGAGAGGGTGGGGGAGAGGGTGGGGCAGGGGTAGGCAAAGATATAGAGAAAAGGATTCGTCAGAGCGAAGCATGAAGAAGTACACAAAGCTAGCAAGAAAGGGGTTGGTGTCAGACGGGGTGGGGGAGAGGGTGGGGCAGGGGGAAGAAAGTCTTAAGATATGTATAAAAGAAACAGCCAAAGGAAACAAAGCATGATTTAACACGGAAGCCAGCAGGTAAGAGTTTGGTGACAGACAGGGTGGGGGAGATGGTGGGACAGATGGTGGGGCAGAAGAAGAAATGATTCAAGAGAGGCACAAAGAAGAATTAACCAGAGAAAGAGAGCATGAATAAATTGGAAAGCTTTACGTAATTGATATTTACTTCTTCCCTTGTAGATTCCTCCAATGAAAAAGCATCCAATTCTGCAAGCTTATGGCAACATTTCGGTGAGTTCAGATTATAAACTTTAGTGAAAAGTATAATGTTACTTTGATATTATAATATTTTAGTAATCTTATTATGAGAAATAGGGTGTGAGCAGGTTGGCTAGTGAGGTCTTTCCTCGCCTTCTATTTCCACCTCTATGGCCCAGGTTCGATTCCTCCCCTGGTCCACATGTGGATTGGGTTTTCAGTCCCTGCCTGATTCCGTGGGTTTTCCCCAGAATATTCTTCTGGGCTTTTCCTCCCACCTCTACAACTGTAATTTTATTCTCATTGTCTTCTCTTGACAGGTTGCTTCAGGCTTGTGAGCTACAGTGTCTAGGGAACTTTTGAGGGATGCTTGGTTTCATTACCAGAAATAAATAAAATATTAGATAAAAATAATAATAACTTGTAATACACTGAACACTAGTAGTTTTCACGTTGTCAATTAGGTCTCATGAAAGTCTTTCACACTGTTTTCCTTCTACAGCCAACAAGATATGTTCTTGAGGTGATCAGGAAAGTCAAGTCCAGGTATGTAGCCCTGAACAGAAGTATAGTAAGGGGTCATTAAGGGGTCATTTCGAAACAATATCCGTGAAAAGTTGCGGAATAGGTTAACCACTACAGGTACATTGCATCCAGTATTCGTTGCAGGATTCCGTACCATTTTTCTGGAATCCCCCCTCAGTGCTGTTATCAGCATTGTTTACAAAATAATAATTTCATTACCTGAAGATTATCAGGGAAATTGTTCAGAATTCTGCAACGAATACCCAGAACAATGGGCCTAATGCGGATAATTTCTTTCTGCGGCTTATTCCTGATATTTTATGGAGATGAATTTAAAGGATCACCAAATTCAGTGCAGTGGCGAGCTTGTTTCAGTCAGTCTGCAGCACACTGAATGTTTATTGGAGTCTTCAATCTGAACATCGTGTCCTCAAGCCAGCCATTTTACTGCAATAACATGTCAGGCACATTCGAAGCCATTGGTTGCTGGTTACGCTGGTTGTTTTAGTGCTCTGTCGCAGCTTATTATTGGAAAGAAAAGAAGATGCCCTGATTGAAAAGGACGGCCAAAATAAAAGTAATTTCAACTTTTGTTACAGTGAGCTAGAAGAGTCTTTGTTGGTGATACCGTTCAGCTATGTACTGGAGCTCCTACCTCTACTTGAGACATTCATCAGCTCAGGATGGGAGGTGGAACTAGCCTGCAGGTGTCTTCTGTTTCTAATAAGGTAAACAATTCATCAAAGATTGATCGATGAAAGTTCCAGCCTGAAAGGAAGTTATGAAAGTATAGTTTCTCTCTGACTTTCACGAGACGCTTTGTTGTCTCTTTCCCAAGGGTGGAAAACGTAGGCCTTAATGTTGGTTACTAATGTACCCATTTACTCCTGGGTGGGGAGAAGCAATGAGTGACAAAGTGCCTTGCCCAAGGGCACACGCACCACAACCCCAGGCTGGACTCGAACCCTCAACCTCCAAAATTACCCGCAGACCACGAATTCAATGCCCAAGACCACAAAGCCACGATACTCCATGAAACAGTCGCTAGTCAGCCGATGTTTCTTGGTCGACATTGCTCCAAAGTGTGCAGGACCAAAGTTGTTAATAAGTCAGTTTTTTTGTTCAAATTGACAGTGATTTTTGTTTTGTGATGGCAGGGTTCACCATGGTCAGATCACATCCAGTCAGTCTCTGCTACCGATCATAGACAGATTACGTAGCACCTCCATGCAACAGGTGCATCAGATGAGGGTAAGCCAAACTAGAGAGGGGGTCAGCGATGGTTCCTAAAAGAGGGCTTGGAGGGTAGATCTGCACCCCAAATTAAGTCCACACAAAAAAATTGTTCCATTTTCAAAAAGTGAACGTTGTTAGACGTGGTGCATCAGATGCAAAATATGTTTTGTGAGTGAGTGATAAAACAATAAACAGAGCATCAACGTTCTTGATTAGTTTCACACCCCGATAGACATGTACAACACACACTATAACCCAACTGCTTACTGTCAGCGTAAAATCCCTGCTAACTGTACTAGAAATTTCCGTGTTTACTGTAAGCGTATTTTATGGGTAAGCGTACATCCCGTAACTAAGGATTCTGTGCTTACAGGGTTAGCACAGAATTCTTCTGCTAGCGCAGTTAGCACAGAATGGTGATCGTAAGCGCAGAATTCTGTGGTTAGCAGAGCCAAATTGTACCCAAGACTGGCTCCTAGACTCCAACTTATGTAGTCTCAAGGGATGTTGCTGGTGGTACCATACTAAATCCTTTATGACAGAGATACGACTAGGGTTAAGTCCTAGACTCCAACCTATGCAATCTCAAGGGAAGTTGTTTGGTGGTACCATACTAAATCCATCATAAACAGAGAAACGATTATACGCATTCCATGGGTGGGATTTCTAATAGATTGTTGCCCACTTTTAATAATGAACAAAAATATGTGTAGGGTGTAATAACACAGGGTGTAACTACCTCTAGGAGGAAGCAAAGCCAGTAAGTTCACACTACTGCCCCTCAAACCATGTTATAGTTGCACACTATTGACCAGCTAATTCTGTCTCTGTGTTGGCAGGATCGGATCGGGTTCAACCTTGCCGGTTTGCAGTTTCTCCAGCGGGAGCTGGAGTCCAGGCAAGAGGTGCAGCTCTTCGGCGACGCCACGGCCAAGATGAAGGACAAGAACAAGAAGAGAAAGCGGAAACTCATGATCACCTTGACAAGTTGAAATAATTAGGAATTCCCTTAACTTTAATTCTAGGTTTTTATTGCCAGAAACTAACCTTTTTTTCCCAGCCAAAATCCACCAGGGCTGAGCTGAATGCATGTACAGCAAACATCTAAATAGTTGATCATCTACCAAATATCGGAATACTCTTTTACCAAATATCGGAATACTCTTTTACCAAAGTCAAAATCATGTGAGCCGTGTCGAGAAGACGACGAAAGAGTCCATGAGGTAATTGTCTTCATTAAGTTGAGCGGTTTTATTTTTTTGTTAAATTTTGTGTGGACAGCCACTTTACATGCTGATATGAGGGCAAGTTCTGTGAGGAATATTAGCACTAATTTGTATCTTTAAAATCTGTCAGCTTTCTCAACAAATATATGATATTCATAAAGTTTTTAACCTCATGTCAATCAAATTATATTGATGCACACAGAATGGAATGTCCTCCGAGTTTAGCAATGTCGCATTTTGTTTTTCGTCTTGGACAGACACTTAATATGCATCTGTGCTCAAATTCTGCTGCTTTATGTCACTTCAAATTCAACCACCATAGTATTGCAGTCATTTTATTTCGGATAGTCTATGTACATTGCTATTGAATAATGACAGACTTTAATAATTGTATACATGTACATTTAAAGCGTCTAGCAGTTGCATAGCACAAGCCTGATATACAATGTGCATGCATTTCTAAAATATAACAGGAAACATCTTCATCAAATTTCTGTCAACATATCTGTATTTGTTTCTTTCTGAAGCTAGCATTTATGTAGGCAAGCCTTTAAGCGACATTTACAAGCTGAAGATGAAAACTAACAATTAATAATACTTTTTATTTTAGCACCAAATTAAATATAATCTGTTACAGTTAATACCTTAGATGCCATTTTTTTTAAGTCGTCAACAACACAATAAAGTTGTGTATGGCACCACAAAGTCACGTATGTGTACCAATTAAATAACATGCTCATAAAAGGTTTTCAGAAATTCATGTTTCAACAAAACTTTTTTGATGAATTTTGGTCCAAAATTGACTACGCTAAAATACTCAGAAATGCCTTTGGATGCATATGAACCATAATTGAATATTCAAACAAGCAAAATTTGCAAGAATGTGGCCAAAATGTTCAAATTATTAAAACAAAATACATAGTTTTGACTGATTTCCCCCCAAATTTTCGACAAAATTTATCCTTTGGAAGGCACATCTGTCATCTATACAAGTGAAAACGTGTTCTAGGGACCCCAAGGCATCTTTCCAGGAAGTTTCAAGAAATATCATTTTTTGTCAAAAAGCTTACTTTTTTGATGAATTTTGGGCAAAAATTGACTTTTCTCCTAAAAGCAAAATTTTCAAATTTTTGGCCAAAATGTTCAAATTATTGAAGGGTAATTAATAATTTTGACCGATTTTCCCCCAAATTGTCGACAAAATTAATCCTTTGAAAGGCACATTTGTCCACTACACGAGTGGCAATGTGTTCTAGGGGCCCCGAGGCATCTTCTCGGCAAGTTTCAAGAAATTAAATTGTCGGCAAAATAGAAAAACAATTGCAAGGGGTTACATTTTTGAAGATTTGTGTCAAAAATTAACTTTTCTCCAAAATGCTCAGAAATGCCTTAGGATGCAAAATTTTGCAAAATTTGCTAGATTTTAGTCGAAATGTTGAAATTATCTGTGGGGGAAATTGTGAGGTATATGGATTTTTTCTTTAGGTCTGAGTGCCAAAATTGGCTTGATTTAATTCATCTGTTTGCTATTGTCATCTAGCTTATTCATGCTTGTCTGGCAAAATTCAAATCAATCTGAGACCGAGACTAAAGTTCTTTAAGTCGGAGGCTTACATTTTCTAAAGCCAAAGATTTCCAAAAACTCTGTAAGTGTCCTTCAAACATCACTTTCGACTGTCTGGCGCACCCGACTCTGAGATGGCAGCTCCGCGCCGTTCATCCCCACCATTCCTTGGTTGCAATCCAGCGGCGCCTTCTCCACGTCGAGTAGATGCGCAGGGAAGGCTGGCTTGTTTCCCTCGGCGTCCAGCATGGGCGACGCCACCTCCCGTATCTCCGAGTACTGGTACCGCGTCTGGGAGGTGCTGAGAGAGTCGGCCTGATTGGCCTGCAGTAACGGCCCGTGGTATTTGTCGAAGAGGGCTCTGCAGCGGCCAATCAGGAGCAGGAGGAACATCTCTATGACAACCAGGATGTTGTACCACACTAGTGAAAGTGGAAGAAACCACACATTAATTGAGAGAACTTGTGGACTAATTTCTGTCAATGATGACTCCATCTTGGCATTTTAAAAGTCTTTAATGTCCAATCAAATGGAAGTTTAGGTCTACATTATACATTTGTCTCATATTACGATTTGATTTCCATGAAGTAGCATATTGACTTATGATGAGGTAGAGTCCCACAAGTTAGAGACCTACAAATCTTTGGCCAAAAGAGGAGACGGAGCCAGGTTTTTGGACCCTACCCTCCCCTTTTCCTCCCAATTTTTGCCAAAACATTTTTTTTTTTCAAAATGGAGTCTGCCCAGTTTACGAGTGGTGCAGTGGTCAAGAGACATCTTTCCAGCAAGTTTCATGACATTTATTGTCACCATAAAAAAATCAAGGGGTAAACCTTACATTTTTAAAAATGATTTGTGGCTATAAATTAGCTTTTCCCTAAAGTACTTGTGGATGCACTTGGACCATAATTCAATATTCAAACAAGCCAAATTGGCATGATTTTGGCCAAAATGTTGAAATTACTGAGGAAAAAAATATTTTATTAATTCGAAAAAGAGACCACTCCCAAAAGTTCCCCCTTGTAAATTGGACTCCATGCTGTTGGTCACAAGACAGGAGCCTGAAAGTTCTCCTTAAGACAAAGCAGAGATTTACATCCCCCCCCCCGCCCGACCTCAACCTCCCAGGTCCATACTCACGGCTGGCCCTGATACTGGGCGCTAGGACGCCCTCACACGAAAAGTTCACAACCTGGGAAACGATGGAGATGACCAGCCCCTGAAGACTGGGGACGATCATGAAGAACTTGAGCAGGGAGAATCGGAGACGGAACGTTCCGTACATGGCGGCTAGGCTGGCATCGGCGGCCACGTTGATGATAGTCAATGCATACATGGCCGTCAGTGTGGACGCGATCATGAGCACCGTGAGATACAGGTAAGCGGATGAGGGGTCCAACTGCAGACGAAATAATGTCACGCAATTTTGTCAAAAACTGACTTCGTCTCTTCCTTTGTCTCTACATCTAGATCGTGATCATTATACAGGGTGAGTAAAACAAAAACACGAAACCCAAATGTCGGGACTATTGTTTTAGTGAAAGTCTGCATCTAGCACTATCAAAATCTAGGATGTGAAAGCCCAATTCATAAGCTTTCTTTTAGTACAAGAATCATTCAAATCACTCATGTACTTTTCAAGTTACGGAATTTTAAAAACAACAACCGTTTTGAAGTTCTGTCCACGGATCACCAGGTAAGTGTTCTTTCAGCAAAACAAAACAAATCACATAGGGGATGTTTTCGTTTTGCTGAAAGAGTGAACACTTTTTTTGTGATCCGCGGATATAACTTCAAAACGGTGGTTGTGTTTAAAATTCCGTAACTTGAAAAGTACATAAGTGATTTGAATGATTCTTGTACTAAAAGAAAGCTTATGAATTGGGCTTTCATATCCTAGATTTTGATAGTGCTAGATGCAGAATTTCACTAAAAACAATAGTCCCGACATTTGGTTTCACTTTTTTGACTCGCGCTGTACAGGACCGTTTACATTTATACCCAAAGTATTACCTACCGAATTATTATCAAAAAGGTTAGTTGGATTCAAGACCGTATACTGGTAATTATTCCGCCTGGCTTGCTGTTATTAACAGAAGGAATCACGAAATGTAGGTGAATTCCAACGAGAAGGCAATATACTGATTTGTGGAAATATATGGACGCAATCATGATTCGTTATTAAAAGGTTGGGCAAGGTTTTTCATGGTTTTCTCGAGAAGTGTAGTATCCACTGAGCTGAAACTTCAACAGGTTAGATTTTGAACATTCTTCTTTGGATTTTGGGTGGTGTTAGTATTAGAAACGCAATGCATTAACAGACAATGATGCTTTCATGTATGTAGGGAGGTAATTAAGTAAATGAGAAAAAATGGAAATTCTGAATTCTCTTCGTCTGGAAATTTGTCATTATACCTGTGCGGGATTGTATAGGCCATCAGCCCACAAGATGGCTGTGATGAAATACGTCAATGGGTACACGACGGCCATCTGCAGCACGGCCACACGAAGACGATGCAAGTTGGTCCTGCGTGTCGGGATAAGAAGATAGTGGGTCTAAGAAGATAGTGAGTCGACCTTTCGGGCTTGTTAAGTTCTTCTCGAAGTTGAAAGTCCTGACGTGAAACTTAGCAGGTGTTTGGTTTAATTTGTGTGTGTTTTGTTTTGTGGTTTGTTGGGTGGTTTTTTTTTTTTGGGGGGGGGGACAGCTTGGTGGGGACTTTTGAAAAGAGACTTCCGTTTGTGAAGAAACTGTTGCAACCTCCGTATTTTTTGTAATATCACTCTCATGAGATTGTGCATCATGAGCTAGTCAGATGTTCGCAATTATATACATCTTTAATTTGTAAAAAGAAGGTGTTTCCCTACACTTTTTTAAACCGATAAAGTCATTCCTCATTTTTGCCCATTGCATCCACTGTCTCTTTTTGGTTCTATTGGTCGTCTTCATGCCTTTTTGCCCCCCCCCCCCAAAAAAAAACCCCAAGAGACAGCAGGTGTCTGTAGTCAAAGAGGCGATATTTGTTGCCGGTCAAAGAGGGCAAGCCTAGCTATAATGTCCTTTTTTGTACCAATCTCACTGACTGATTGTCACTTGAGACTATATTGTTTAAGCCTCGGCCTCATCTTGGATCCAAACTTCCCTTTGCGAATACCAACACGTATATATATCAAATTGGTCTGGGACCAGATCTACTAGGCTTTGTCTTGTTAAATTCTACGTACGTTGTCAGCCAGATCTTCCGGCAGCAGCAGGGACAGCAGCACGCCAGCGGAGGCTGGGACAGACTGATCTTGGTCTTGGCCAACTTGGCCACCATCTCGTCCGGACCTCCGAAGTAGTTGAAGATAAGCATCAGGAAGATGTACAGCGAAACAGAGAGATACCTGAAACAAAATTTGAAGACCGAAATGTTAGAGACTCGGGCTCATTCCCTGACCTAAAACTTGGGGGGGGGTGCAAGCCGAGGCGAAGAGATTCCTGAAAAGTTGGGAAGACTGTAATTCAAAAGACTAAGAAAAATGTTTTCAAAACCTAAAGCATTTTGGCTTCGCCGGCCACCCCGCCTTCTCACATGGCTTCCAAAAAAATAGTGAAATACGAAAGTCGAGTAAATTGGACATGACTTACACGCTTGCTGCCCAGATTCCCACTAGAGCCGCCTTGGGGATATAGATACCCGTCAATGACGTCACGCTAAAAACCTACACATGTTGACAAAAAAAGATGTATGTAATGGGACTACAGTTGAAATTTAATGTGTGAAGAACAAAAAAATTGATCCGAAACTTTATTGGACATTGTAGTGACAAAAATTAAAAGTCCTAGAATTCATCGGTCGGTCTCCCGTTGTTCCGTTCGGGTGGTTATCGGTCATTTTGCCGGTTTTGGCCGGTGCTACGATACGGTCGATCGGCCTTTGTACGTAGCTCCATACTATCAGTATAAGAACCGACCAACATAAGTCCTGCAACCGGCCAGCAGTCGTCCCAGATAAGGCCAGTTCTGTCATATTACACTAGAATGATACTTTTGCCAAGTTTTCCGGGTCGAAACGACACGGCAAATGAGCGCGAGAAGTGTCATTTTTACCCGGAAAGTTCCAACTGACCAGGGGTTTTTCTTTAGTCTTCTTACCGGTACGAGACCAAGGATGAACATGGTGTAGCCTCGCCGTGTGCCGTACTCCAGGGAGCGCGTTGCACTGTACGCAGTCTCGATGAACAACAAGCAAGTCAGAAAGCTCAAGATGGACACAACGATGAGGACTGCCGTGGACCAGGGTTCAGATGTGTGCACTGGCGGAGGGGGAAATATATTCTTATCAGAAATGTAAGGAGGGGAATTGATGGGAAGTTGGGAAACTTTTGACGATTCAAGGCGAACAGGATCATTTGCATTTTTTCCCAAAAGTAAACTACCGAATTATTTTCAAAAAGCATACTTGGATTAAAGATCGTACTGGTAGGCCTACTATAAGCACCCCATGACATTACTCCATCTGGTTTGCTGTCCTATAGAAGAAATCAAGAAGGCGATTTTCAACGATCAGTCAATTGACTTGTTTTGTTTTTCTGGAAATTGATGATATCTTGTATCTGGATCAAAAGGTTGTGGTTGTTTTTTCCACTTTTTTCTCGAAAAGTGTAATATCCACTGAGATGAATCTTCACCAGGTTAGGTTGGTGAACATTCTTCTTGTTTTTTTTAGTGGTTTTATTATTGGAAATGAACAAATGCGTGAAAAGCAAATGATCTTGTATATGGTTTTAATCAAGAACTTCCATTCCACTAACAAAAAGGTCAAACGGACGATCGCAGTGCACGAATAAAGAATATAGAATTTTGCTTCACTTTATAAATAAATTCTATTGTTAAAAATGTAGTGTCCATTTGGGTTTCTTTTTTTTAATTGACGCCGGAAATAGATTTAATTTTTGTATATGATTTTTATAGTCATAGAAAAGTTACTTACTTATGAATGACGTCAAACGAAAAAAATCGAGCCACGTACAGTGATAGTGTGATTTCTCCATAACATTTAAATTATTGTGGTCCGATCATAATTCAGATTTAGGTGGGTAGTTCCCGCCTCTCCGCTCCTATCAGAATCGATCATGCATAGGGACCGGGAACCAATCTACTCACATGGTGGATCTGTTTGTACGCATAGACCTATATATATCCAAAATAAAAGCCTTTTTTTTTCAAAGGGTCGCAAACGCAAAAAAAAACCACAGAAATGAAGCATTTTTTTGTTAAAAAGTTGGAAAAGTCTTCAGAAGATTTTTTCCCGAATGTTCAAGTATGGATAAGCAACACAAACAGACAACAGTCAAGCATTTCAAAGGCTGTGGGGAACAGGGTGTATCCGAAAGATAAGCTGCTAAATTCAACAAATTGGGAAATCCAAATTTGAGAATTTACCTTAATAAGAATGGCCTACCCGGAAAAATGCCACCATAAATAACAACTCTGATAAACCATGTTCCTGAATCTCGTTGATAATTGTCAAATGAGGTATTTTCCGCCATCGATATTTTTGTCTCTCTGCACGGCAGCCAAAATATGTAAACAACTTAGCCAACAACAAACACTCCAAATCAACATGCTGTTTCTTGTTCTAGTTTCATTATCTGTGTCAAGCGAACATTGAGCCACTGTATCTTATTTGCTTAATGAACGCTTCATATGGCTCCATGATTACTTGAAATAGAAACCCGTATGGAATTTTAAAAATGAAACAGATGACAATGGCAAAAAATCTTTATTCTAACCGCACATACGCAGGCCTACTTAAAAACAACATGTGTTGTGCTATTGGCAAACATACCAACATGTGTTATGTCTTCTGGGAAATTAAAACAATGCGTTAACTGTCAACAATACTCAGAATAGTTGTAAATTCGCCGTTGTTTGCAGGTGTTTGCTCCGTTTAACATTTGTTTTTGGAATATTTAAATAAACAAATGTGAAGCGCTCGTTCTCAGTAAGTTTTGAACAATGGCACACCTTGGTTCAATTTACAGGGGTGCGCTAACATGCCTCATTTCCCTGTGGGGCCTTCAATCATGTTTTATGCCAATAAAAGGCTTAATTTTGCCTTCCATGTGGCCTGTGCCACCCCCTGAGCCTCCCCGTTCCTCCCCCATCCCCCTTTACGGGGGAGAGGGGCTGGCCCCCGGGTGCCCCAATTTAAAATCTGGAATTGCACAAAAAAATATATCAGTTCATCGCCTTTCCCCCTTTGAAATTTTTTTGCACCCCAGCCTCCCAGAACGAGTTTAACGCCGCTGCCTTTGCGCCACATATTTAGAATTTTTTTTTTTTTTTAAACTTGCGGAAAACTCGACACAAATTGTTGTTGGCACTGAAAACTCTTTAGGCCTACGTTTTGTTCAAACAGCTCAAGTCCATAAACAAAAAGTGAAGTGTTGAATCTAACATATTTGTGTTCGGCCAGTGAACACTTTGAAAGTGTTAAATCCAGCATTGAAATATTAAATCCAAGACTTAAATTGTTAATTCAACAGTTTAATGTTTATCATGTTGATTCAACACTATTTTAAAGAGTTAACTATGAAAAATGTTGAATTAACGCTGCAATTGTTCAATAAGCCTCTGTACTTATGACGTCGCACTTTGTTTACGCGTGCACTTTCCTATGGAGCCAGTGGGGGCCCACGGTCCACTGAGCACCATAGGAAAATACACACGTAAACAAAGTGTGACGTCATTAGTACAGAGTTTTATTAACAGTATAAGTGTTGGATTAACATTTAAAATGCTGGGCTCAATATTTAAAATGTTGGATTCAACAGTTTCAAAGTGTGGTCACTGACCGAACCCATGTTGGATTCAAGTTTTCAGATATTCGAATGACTCCAATTGTTTGTGAAATCAATTAAGGTCCAAGAAGGCACGCTGAAAGAGTTACAGACAGAATATATTTGGAAAAAAGTTTGATAGGTTGCTTGGGAAAAGCTAGTGCCTGCTTAATTAGATCCAGGAGCGGACTATAATAGTGCTGTTAGGGGGAAACCAATTGCACTGTAAAAGTTTTGATGAACATTAAATGTGGAGAGATGTTACCAGTATTAAAGGTATCAGGAATTGAGAAATCTGAGAAAACAACCCTCTGGCACAAAAAACAGAAGGCATATTGAGAAACGTGTTTCAAGAACGTTACGTCTGGAAAGTCGTGTGTATAAAAGGTTATAGAAAACTGTGTGTTAAAGCCTCAAAGGTCATATAGCAGATGATGGCAAACAAATATTGTATAAACCATACACAGTGTCGTGCCCATGCTAAATGGGTTGATGACATCATGGAGCTCCATGATGACATTGACATACATGTAGGCCTAGTCTAGACTCTACGGCCCAACCTCTAGACTGACCGTAGAGGTTGGGCTGTTCGAGTAAGTTGTTCTCGAGGTTTTTCCTGTTGCATATCTATTTGAAATGGGAGAAAGTATTTTTTTTAAACTAAAGTTTCCACTTCAGAGCTTCGATCTGACCATGGAGTTATGGTGTCGGGGACACTGGCCGTGGTGGCATGGTACACTCGATCGGCACGAAGACATATTAATGGTCTCACTACATATACTCACATAAGAACATTTCTCCGGCGCTGGGCACTGTGAATGTGCAGTTGGATTCCTCCGAATCAGCTGACATATCCACTGCATCTGTAGACACGTTCATGACACCTGTTGTATTCTCCATGCTGACTGTCTTGTAGGTCCACCTCTCGTTTGCAATAGTAGAGCTTTCCTTGCGAGTATACTACTGTGGCTTCAGACCCGATATATAGTAGACCCTCTATTACTGGCCTATTTACGATGACCACTCGTTGGAATGGCTACTTGGAATAACAACTTTTTAAGTTAGCACACACTGTACTGCACAGGTGCTATGCAAACACAATGCGACTGAAGTCCCCACACGATACAGCAATTGTTCAGTGCGGTCCGTTTCTTCACACCTCTTATTGAACAATACCTATAGACTCACTGACGCATTATTATGATAACAAGAAGTGCATTAATTCATACGTAAAGGTTTCCCCAACTTCAGAAACCTCAGGGAGACCGGCCGTCAACAGGTCACAGTGGCACCTTTTCTCTGAAGCTTTTCAAGAGTTGCCGGGAATTGCAAGCACCTGTAAATGGAACGCGAGCCATGCATGTTGGCTTTGTTAATAAAGAAAACAAGCTTATCAGTAGTAACTACTGAACTCTGAACTGGTGGGCGGGCATATGGCTGGGCGCGTATTTTTGTTTTCCCTTGATATCATTGTTCTGTTCTCATGAATAAACATACTGGCCCGATCGAAACTACTGCATTATTCATGACTTGGCCCTAACCATCCTGGGAATAAAAAAATACGCTGGCTGGGCCATGTGAGGTGAGGGAGCGGAATTTCACTCATGTTCTCTGAATGATCGTCCATCAGCTGAAACAACACATTAATACTACTATTGCGCTGATCGATATGCACCTGTTATGAAATTGACTGTGTGGCATGATCGCGTGTAAGTGTTTGCAAGCACGTAAGCCTTCGGGTGGTCCTCAGTCAGTGAGTCAATCAATCAGTAAGATAGGTACAGAGTGCGCGTGCACTAAACACTTGTCCTCTTGTATATACCAGAAAAAAGTATTTTGCTTGATAACGCCTACGTTCAGCCTCTTGCCATGTCTGCGAAAATCGGCCCTCCACACTTGCTGACTTGGAAAAAAAAGTTGACCCCTGCGCATCTGATTTCTGATTTTACATCTGGAGGTTTTCTTTGAGTCCGGTTTCATAAGCTAGGCCAGATTCATTGGTCATGGGTTATCATCTGCATGAACAGATATCTAGCGTGATTTTGTTTTCTTTCTTTAGGGCCTGTATGAGTGTACTTTTCTCCAGCCATGAAGTTTCTTTCCCATTGGATGTTATCCTTTTTGTCAATTATATCTCCTTTTTGTCAATTCTTTCTCATTCCCCAACCACTCCTCCCAAAATATCCCTGTGGCTATCTCAGTGGCCAATGTCTTGTTGGGCTTCCTATTTTTGCCTCAGTCAGACAGTTAGGCCTTCTGCAGTGTATGGGTTGCTCTCCTATATGATCCCCCAGAGGCCTGTTAAACAAGTTTGGAGGCAGCTTGGATGACCGAAAATTAGAACACCTCAACAAAACCATTACCAGCAAAATCTCGATCCAGAACGCCATAAAAATTAAGGATGGTCCATGACGCAGATGAATAATTACCTTGGCTGCACACATGGATGAAAAATTATTGCAAGTCAGCGAAATGCAAGCCCCGGGTGTAGCCAGTAAAGTGTTGCATGAACGAAATACCAGCAACACGTACTGTATCGATCAGAAAAGATTTGGAGACATTTTAGAGCGACCGAAAACCGCACGATCCTCGTTCCAATAAGAACACCCGTAGCCAACTGACAAGAGTGCACAGGGAAGGCTGGCAGATAAGGAGGTGCCACATATCGAACCAGTTTTCTTTAAAACTGTTTTCTTGTCTTGTCTGATAGATACTGCACGGGTCGCCTCAGGTGGATATCAACGCCCGTCCATAGTGCATCGCTTTGACTCCTCTGCCCGTTGATCAGGCACTTAAATGTGGCCGCATCTTTTGCTTCTTTGGTGCTGTATATAGGCGGGAGTGCATTCCAAACTGGAATGGTTCGTGGGCCCTAATGAACATCTATAGCAGTTTTTGTTTGGTCGGCTAACTCATTTATTGTGTTCGTGTGTCTTACGAGTTGTTGGTTTAGACGATGTTTGCCTAAAGTGGCATTGATATTGCAACCGAATTAAACGGCGACCTGGCCCAGATCCAGTGTTGCAAACAGAAATATTATGACAAACAAGGCAGAAGAGCCGGGTAGCGAAAACAAGGACCGAAGGTGGTGGCACATCATCTGAAGATGAATTACTTGTCCAGGTCTCATAGCACCTCAAGTACAATAGGCCTTTTCACACTATATCGTATCACCTGCCCGTGTAGAATTCTACGCGGGTCCGCGGTCAACTTAACCGGGTCACATAGACACGGGTAGGCAAGTGGTACCGTCCACACTTACACCGGTTTTTTTTTGTAGAACCTCTCAATCCAGGTTCCGACCATAGAGCAGGGACCCAATCTTGGATTGTACCCGTATAGAACGCCGGACCTGTGTAAAAATCGAGTTTGGTGAAAGGGGTTCCTTAAATCTCTGTGTTGGACTCGGGTCCGTCTCGGTGCTGATATAGCGCTATATAGCATTTATGCTCAAGGATGGGGAGAGGCAAGCAATGCCCAAGAACACAAGCACCATGTTCTGCTGTCAGACCCATGACACTGAGTCAGACACCGTATACGATTGAACCACGGTGGTCTAGGTATGGTCAGTGTTTGGGGATTTTCACATGATTATTCAGCCTATTACTATTAATCATTAATATAAGATGCGGCTCATCACCGTCAGGCATCGGTTACGCAACTAAGTCCACAGAGTATAATCGAGCATCACTCAACTGTAAACAGAACATCGAGCAAAACGGAGGTAATTAAAATGTTATATGAAAGCCTATACAAACGATTGTTAGCACAGCTCAGCTGCTGTGTTTTAAAGTGATTTAGCAACGGGGCCTTAGAACCAGCCTATTTTGAAAGTCTAGAGGGCTAGCATAGAGTCCTCTTTGCACCTATCTCACTGACTCACTACTGACTCACTGCAGGGCCCAAGCCAGCCTGGTGGAAGGGGGGGGGGTCATTTTTACCATGGAGTGGACCTTTGAACCTTAAAGTGGACCTTTTAATGCGTAATAAACAGTTGATTTCGCATGGAAATACACAATCGCGAGGAACCTGCGGCCGATTTATTTGTTTGGTTTATTTTTTTGGGGGGGGGGGAGGAGTAAGTGTCTTGGATAATTTTTCGTTAACAAGAATAATTTCGTAAATAGGATAGATAATTAATGTTTCAATTAATGTGTACGTTGGTACACATTCGTTGAAAGGCTACACGTGCGGTTCAGCGTTATTTTCTTTCAAATCATAAAGAAACCCCATCCCAACCATCCCCATATGATATAAGCCATTCAATAATACGGAGATTTCTAGCAGCACAGCGAAAGTCATTACGAACGGTTGCCGTCTGTGCTTCTACGCACGACTAGCAACGCACGGAGGACCCAGCCTCATGTACGCCACAAAAGGAACACCAATAATTTCAATGCTTCCAGACCAATATAACAGCTGTATATGTCCCTAATTGCCTGTTTTGGATATAGCTGTGTTTCTAACGTCCTTCCACTCATATGATAGCCCAGACCTCTTGAGTCTTTCGACATACCAAATTGGCAATTATTTACCTACTTACGGCCGGGCGTACCGCTGTCATAACGTTGTCACCAGGTAAGATAATATCGCTTGGGCAAACTTACCAGTGCTAAAGGTCGGTGCTGATCTTGATTTAGACAGAGAGGAAAAATAACGACGGCGCTACACAAATTATGTCCGGTCGTAAACTGGGAAATTAAACCCACTCTGTCGTCCCGAGAACTTTGCTTCGGTAGCCTGGGACTGAGCCATCTTCTTTAATGCAAACATCTTCACTGCGCGTTCGCTACGGGTGGAGATCAGGGGGTGGGTTCCAGGCTGGATTCGTGTTTCCAAATTGCATTCCGTGTGTACCAACTGAGTACCACTGATATTTGTTTTCTTCCTGGAGTGGTTTGTGTCGTCGTTAGGATGTTTTCCTCCGAAGAAACGGCGTTCTTAAAGTGAAGACACTGATGGACTTGACCGTAGGACTCTGCTGACACTAAACTGGAAGAATGTCGTAGCGATGTGCAGTTTTAAGAACGAGTTTTGTAACTTGTTTCGCGGTGAAATAAAGATGAATGTTGCCGTGTGATCGAATTGGTTTTGCCCGTAGCTAGATACATCAGCGGTGAGGAGACAATTGTGGTGGGTAATCTGGCAGTTATCAACCCGCTCCGGTGATGATGTGCTTGCGTGTCTGGTTTGACGTTCCGTATGTTTCAAAGTTGTAAGAATCAGCAGATGTTGCGAATAAACTGTTCCAAGTAGTTTGCAACGTTCACGCGGGGTTTACTCCACATCTTTTTCATCGCCCGTAGAGCTCAGAAACTCACATCGACTGGACGAGAAGTGGGAGAACGGACAAGACGTGGACAAGAAGATTACGGGAGCAACTACCTGAGTATTTATTCTTTAGAACCTGTATTTTGTTCATCCATAAGACTTGAGGAAAGGTGGATACTATCGGAACCATGACAGCTTTGGTAAAGTCGGCTTGTGTTATGTCCATCCTCTTCGTTTCAATGACCCTTTCGTTTCATGTGCCGGCGGACGTGGACGCTGCTACCGGTCACCAGAGCGGCGAGGCCGATCGAGTTTACTTCCAAGACGGGGATGTTATCTTAGGCGGTGTCTTCCCCCTGCACAGCTACGACGAGGGTAAGCGAGCGTGCAGCATCATCCGTGAGGTGAGGGCCCTGAAGCTGGTGGAGGCTATGGTGTACGCGGTGGGACGAATCAACAACAGCACCGACCTATTGCCGGGGATTCAGCTGGGCTTCGAGATCTACGATTCCTGCTACAGTGACATCTGGACGTTGAAGAAGGCTCTCAACTTCTTGCCACCGGATCAGAAGCGGGCATGCAAGGGGTCCTGGGGGTCAGGGGAAGAGCGGGTCGGGACTGGTGACCTGACTTGCCTTCATCAGAAGAGAATTGCCGGGGTGGTAGGGTCACAGAGAAGTCAAAGTAGCATCGAGCTGGCCCTTCTGCTTGGCTTGTATCATATACCTCAGGTAATATTGTAGTCGAGTCTATCACAAGTCCATCACGGGTTCTCACAAGTCCATCACAAGTCATGAGATTCCGGGGGGAAAATGAAAGAAAACAAAAGAAGGTGCTATGGGGGAAGGGAGGAGTCCCCTCCGCCGGATATCTTGCTCCAAAAGTCATTTAAAATGGAATAGTTTGTCACTACATTTGAGACCGGATGGCGAGTGACCACTTGTGATCGACTTGTGATTGGCATGTGCCTGTAATGCCTGAATACAACTGTGGATTGGAGATAGGCCTGTGTGCAATTTGGATTAAAATCAGAGTAGAACATAGCCTACCGCTGAAAATAATGAATTAAATGATGATCTATATTGGATATGTCAAATCATTCTTTGAAAGGCACTGGATTTGCGGAATTGTGTGCGACAGAGAACTGGGAGAGTACAAGATTAGGATTATGATATATTTTACGAATTTAAACAATCTTAGTTAGGCCTACATTTTCATATCCCAATCTAATATCTGAACATTTGCAGAACCCTTGAGTTAGAAGACTGACTTCAGTAACGAATATTAATAATATAGCAACTTAATAATAGCATAGTCAAGGTAAATTAGGGGCTCAGAAAATTCTGTATAAAAAAGAACACTTTTTTTTGTTCAGGTGAGCTACCTGTCGACCCTGGACAGTCTCAGCGAGGTGAATTATCCTTACTTTCTTCGGGTCGTACCATCAGATCGGCACCAGGTTAGTGGTCGGTACCGGTATAGCTTGTCAAACATGCCCGGGGATGGGGCCGTTAACATCAACTGTAGCTCATCGATTTTCCTTTAATTAAACACTTGAAAAGCATACATTGTATGTAATAAATAACATATTTTTTGGCAACAAATAGGCAGCAATATTCCCGAAATTTCTTATCTGCATTTCTTGGTTATGCCCCTTATAAGTATTGAAGCTCAGTTACTTGTTTTGTGTGATGTTTCCTTCTCTGTGCCAGTTTGGACACTTATTTTGTTCCTAAAAATTATATACTGCTTTTTGATGCGACATAATTTATTGACCAGTTCAAGGGAGTATCACTCGAACCCTAGAACTAATTCTTATTTGGATGACAACTATAATAAAAAAAAATATGCATTCTATAATAAGTTAGAGCATTTTATTGTCGTTCAAGACATCTTGACGAAATGATATTTAAAAAAAACAGTATTCTTGATATTTTAGTGTCATAGGTTCGAATCGGCTGCTGGCCAAGTGTTGCGTCCTTGGGCAAGCCACTTTATTCCAACTTGCCTCTCTCCGCCCAGGAGTATAAATGGGTACCGGCATTGGCTGGGGAGTAACCTGCAACGGACTAGCATCCCATACAGAGGGAATGGACATATTCTCAGTCGTTTCATGCCAAGAAAACCGGAGATAAACGCCGGCTAGTTTGGGACACATTTGCTCGTGATTTTACTTACCACTGCTCTTGATATATCCCTAGGTGAACGCCATTATGGATCTGGTCCAGCACTACGGCTGGACCTACGTTTCGCTTCTCTTCTCCGATGACGAGTACGGGGAGAACGGTTACTACGAGTTCACGCGCCAGGCCGCCGACCACAACGTCTGTCTGGCTTACACCAAAGAAATATCTTTCATTTTTCCCGACACGTAAGGACAGTAAGAATATACTTTTGCTGAAAAGTATAGAGTACGATTCGTATATTTATAGGTTACCTCTCAGGTCCCAGTACATATCTCCAGACGAATGTAATGGTTTTGTGTGGATTTTTTTCACATTGGCAGGGAAAATACTACCAAAAGTCGATGCATTCAGCCTCATGATTGACACTGGTTTATACCAAATACAATTTGTTTTCATCGGTTTACAATTGAAAATTGTATTTTATTCTGATGGAATATTCCATCAGAATAAAATAGGGTTGTGTGGCCTAGAGGTTAAAGTGTTCGTGACTCGTGATCACAGGGTCAGGGGTTCTAATCCAGCTGCTGGTCATATGTGGTGTCCTTAGGCAAGCCACTTCACCCCCACTTGCCCCTCTCCACCCAGAAGTATAAATGGGAACTGGCATAAGCGTTGGAGTAACCTGCGATGGAGTGGCATCCCATCCAGCCAGGGGTTTTTTTTTCATGAAACTGAAACTGGAGATAAACGCCAGCCTAATGGGCCATAGTGGCTCGTGATGGACTCGACTTGACTATAAAATAAGCTTCCCGTAGTGACACCGCCACCTGCAAATTGGAATCCAGCCTCGCCACCATGAAGTTTAACGATCACGTCCTTATTCATGTTTCCATCCTTTTCGGTGCACGGCAGGTATTTCGACGACATCGTCGCCGACATGCGGCGCGAGCCTTTCAACCGTGCCGTCGTCGTGGTCCTGTTCGCCCATCTGTTCGAGGCCAGGAAGCTGCTGGAGGCGGTGGAGAGGGGAGGGGCCGTAGGGGAGTTCACCTTCATCGCCAGCGATGGCATCGGGAACTTCGGCCGGAAAGGGCTGGACGGACTTGAAAAAGCCGCTCTCGGTGAGTAAAATAGTCCGAGTGGTCCAAAATGGGATTCAGATTTTGTTCCCTAATGCAACACTCATTGGGCAAAGGGGTTGGTAGTTTACCCGGTGTTGGTCAACATAACAACTGCTTACACTCTTGGGCAAATTCTTCACAATATTTGGTAATTTTTGTTTACCGATTTAAACAACAATGAGGTAACTCAATACCCATGTAGGGCAAATAACATTGCCAAACAGTGTTTCACTCTCTTTGTTTTGACAATGAACCATTTCCGATCTCTCACAAGCGCGGTTAAGCCACCCTGGTGGTAGAGGGCGGTATACCAACAAGATGATTCCAATCTTGTCTTGGCAACTTTGGCACTCGGAACCAAGAGATTTTGACTACATATATTTCCAAAAGATTTTCTTTTTGAAATTTTCTTTGCCCAATGCTCCTCAAAACTTCACAAGTATTTTTTTTCACTTTTACTGTTTGCTAGGTATGATCACAATGGTTCCGTATTCCCAGCGCTTTGCCGATTTCAACGATTTCTTCATACGAAATCTGTCGCCGAATAACAGCAACCCATGGGCCGCGGAGTACATGGACGCCTACACGTGGTGTGAATTTCTGACTGGCAATATCTGCGCCGTCAACCGGACTGACTCGATCTCACCCCACGAGACACTGGTTATAGACAGCGTGTACGCCTTTGCCTATGCCCTGGATAGTATGCTGAGCAAGCAGTGCGGGAGTGAACAGGATTGGGGCAGTTGCACTGCTATCGACAATATCGACGGTCAAGTGTTGCTGTCGTACTTGAAGCAGACGGATTATCAGAGTTTGTCGAACGGCCATGTGACGTTCGACAACAACGGCGACGGTATCCCGAGGTACAAAATACGAAACCTCAACAACGAACTCTTTGGATGGCCGACTTTTGTCGACGTCGGTTCTTGGCGTGAGTACGACGACGTGATAGACATCAACAACGACGTTCGGTTTTACACCAAGGATGTCGGCGGGTCGGTGGGCGGGGTACCGAGCTCGGTCTGCAGTGAGCCGTGCCCGGTCGGCTCCAGGAAGCATTTCTTCGAGGACGAGGTGAAGTGCTGTTGGCTGTGCGTGGAGTGTGAGGCAAATGCCACCGTCGTCAAAGATGACACCGAGTGTCGCGAGTGTGTCCCTCCGGAGTGGCCGGACGCCAATCGCACCGAGTGCGTCCCGGTCGCCGCGTCCTTCATGTCCTGGGGAAGCGTGGAAGGGACGGTGGTTAACATTATGGTGTCAGTGGGGGTCTTGGAAGCTCTGCTGGTCCTCGTGTTCTACTTCCCTCAGCTCAGACGCCGTATCGTCCGGAGATCCGATCCCATGCTTTGTATGTTCATCCACCTTGGAGTCTGCTTCCTGCTTGTGGCTGCACTCTCAACCACCTTCGAGCCTACGCCGGCAATGTGCGTGTTGATGCGCATGGGTCCGTCCGTCGCCTACTCGCTGATCTTTGTCCCTTTCGCGATGAAGAGCGCCCGGCTGTATCGAGTGTTCATCAAAGCACGAGACACCGACTCCGAGGAGGAGGCGGATCTGTGGGGCATCAAGAGACAGCTGCTCATCTTGGCAATCATCTGGATCATAGAGGTAGGCTCTTATACTTTAACCTAAGATGATGTAACCAAACAAAGAAATTATATACTGATTCAACATTTGAGGGGAAATTGGGGTAATTCTAACGGAAATTAGAGCAACAGTGTAACCGGATTTTTCACTGTTCTTTACCTACCTTGGATCAGGAACAAAGACGTAGGCCCCTAGTCTGTCCCAAGATGACATATCATATTCAAACAGAGGAATCTCACAATTTATGGACACATTAAAAAAACTAAAATCAAACGTCTACTGTTTTTCTCCCGAACGTCTGCAGGTTGGTGTAAGTCTGGCGTGGATCCTAGTGTTTCCGCCGGAGGTAAGCTACACCTTCGTCCCGATAGACCAGCCGACAGGGGGCGCTCTTGCCGTCACCCTCTTGATCACGTGCAACTTCAAGTTGCACGAGACAATCACGGAGATGTGTTTCGGCGTGTTTTTCCTCCTGGTGGCGGTCACGCTGAGTTTGCTGGCCCGCGCGCTCCCTGACAACTACCACGAGGCCCGCTTCTGTGTCTTCGCCTCAGCGGGTTCGCTGCTCGTCTTCACGGGGGCCTACGCGGCTGACTTCGGCACCTCCCAGTCCGGGGCGTCCTTCCTGCCCATCATGTACCGTGCCCTGGGGATGCTCACTACCTCCATCCTCATCATGACGTGTCTCTTTGCTCCCAAGATGTACGTCATCTACTTCGTCCGTGGCAACATCGACGAGGTGATGCTCAAGAAGCGACAGAGCGTGGCCAATATGGCGGCGTACCGCACGCGTGCGTCCACGGTGAGCACGGTACCAGCGATGAACGGGGGGCCAGCGGGACGACGACGCAGCCGAGTTAGGAGCACGAGAAGTAGCAGCGAACCAGCATCCTCGTCCGGGGATCATGGAATTCAGTTAAAGGCAATTTCAACGTCTATCATCTAATACATAATTGTTTGCTTAACTGTGCATGACGATTTTAATTTTTATAAAAATATGGAGCCCTAGAAAAACTGGTTCCAGAATGCACACAATTATATTCAATTGATTCTGAATGGCTATTCACTGGAAGTCTATTCATGTATCTGGTCTACACAATGGGCCGAACACAGCCCTCTCAAATTTCATTGGCATGAAGAGTAGTCCTTTACGAACGCACTGCCCGGCTCACCAGTCATCAGTCAGTCAGTCAGTTAGGAAAAAAAGTAGGCTGGCCCTCTGGGACCAGCAATCACACATGGGACTTGTGAGGACATAATCTGCAATGGGGCCAATTTCACGGCGCTGCTAAGCACAAAAATGTGCTTAGCACAAAAAAAGTCTGGCTTATAAAAGCAGATTACCAGCCAAAACTCCGTGTGATTTATATTGCTCGTGATTAGTATTCACTCAACCTCGTCCCCAGAGCTTACTTTATTTCCAACCGTGTTTCCAATAGTAAACCCTGGATAGTAAACTTTCTTCCTGTATCCTGATTCGATATCGCAATTGGCTAGTAATGGATTTTTATCGTGTACTTGGTGTTGTTATTCACAACGTGCAGTACGTGTTTTTACATTCTTGTGCTTAGCAGCGCCGTAAAATTGGCCATAGTGTCATATGAAAATGTACAACTGTTTACTCACAAAAAATCCAGTCATCGGATTTATTAAAGAATCTAGACCCAAGTCCGATACCACGACTACGGGACGTTTTACCCGGGCCTGAACGTTATATATTGTTTACGTCAGTTCAGTTTTTTTAACAGCTGTGATATAGGAAATTAGGTTTTGTTTCCGTACATCATCTTGTCAGTGCCCTAAATGACAAGCCAATTCATTCAGAGATGATACTTTACGCCTGGTTGCAGCATTATTTGAATTCCTGTCAACATTAAACGACTAAAATTTAGTCCGCATACCCACAATCAGATAAGAAACTTAAAAACCATGAGAAAAAGGAACCTGTTGTTTCCAACATGGATGATATGATTTCCTTCTCTGACAGCCGCAGTCTTATAACCACGTCTGCAATAATTGACATCAGTCAACGATTACTCTTTAAAGTTGAAAACGATTTTTCGTCCTTCAAAGGGCTGTTGTTATTTGCAAGTCAGTAAAATTTTAGTCAGATCTGATAGCTAACCAGTCGAGGCCGTCCCTATCTTTTACGAATGTGAGGATACTCGGGCTATAATTATTACATTCAATGATAAAATATTGGTATTTTTGTATACTGTCGAGAAAAAATAAAGAGGTGTTATAAATTGATGTTATAATTGAGTGTTCCTACTTTGGGATGTCCTTTTAAAGGATGACTATATGCGTTTAATTTTGTAAGCGGTTAGCAAATGTTGTAAGAATCGAAGGCAGATCGCGCAAGTTCTTTTTTTTTTAATAACTCGGGTTTCGTTTAAACGTTTTGGAAAATTTGTAAACGGATTTAGATTTTTTTTTTCGTTTAAACGTTTCAACGTGTAAAAGTATATTTGGTACCCTTCTTTTTTAAGCTTTGGTAAGAAAATGAAAATTACCATTTGACACCAAATTCTCTGCACTATGTTTATTAGGAATGTGTGAGAATTTACTGTAACCTTACTAAGTTCTTGAATCTAATAATGGTATTATCCGAAGGAAGCAAAACACAAAAAAAATATACACAATCTTAATGTTTTTAAATCAAACTTCGTTTTGATCAATACAATCCTGTCTTTATCGAAGAAATATACCTTTTAGAAAACTATAGCCTGAGCGGTAATCCCAGACGTAATCAGAAGTATTGTCTTTGGGATGTTATATTGAAGTCTTTGAGATGTTATATGTTATGTTACGGTAGCTGTGGCTATGAGCGGGATGAACGATGAACACGAAGAATACGACACACTGGTGTAAGCTCAGCTTTATGGAGAAACTATTTTATGTTCAAGAACTCAATTCTACCGGGTCTTGTATAATTACAGAAGTAGGAGACAGAAGACAGAATATCGTAGATGAAGACTGGCCAGAGCATAGGGCTGAATCAGCGTATGGCCATGCCTCTGGTTTCCCAGGGAGAAGAAGGAGAACTCAATGAAAATGGGAAAATGTGGACACTTTATGCATTTTCAGAGGGGCAACTTTGGTGAAAATAAGATATGATTTCATATGAGGAAAACATATGACATCATTTCTGAGTAAAGGTAGACTGACTATGGACTGACGTAATGGTCAGTCTGGGGGAGTACCCTTATGAGGTCATCTATGGTCGATATTATTAAGAGGACCTATTTCTTTGAGGTTTGAAGTTTCAAGTCAGAAATAATTGTGTGTGTTTTCCAACAGTGTCTTCTAAAAATTATGAACTCTATTTGTTTCAATGCAGCACCAAGGCCTGAAAAACAAAATCACTTTTAAGTCATCAACTGGCACACATCTTTCCTGTTTTTCAGTTGTGTAAGTATAGGCCTATGTTTGTTTATTTCTCAACTTTGGTCAATTTGGGAGCATATTTTGTCTTGGATTCTTGTCCTACCGAAGGCAGTTTGTCGTCATGTCCCAGCAGCCAGTGTTTGTTCAGGTCTGCTGAGTAGCGGGAGGCCGGGGGCTTTCGGCCCAGACTCTCGGCCAGGCTCCGGGTCAGGTGAGCCGAGTTGCCGCAACACAGACCCACGTACTTGATGCCCAGCTCCTGCACTCGCTTGCCAAAGTCGTGGATGTCCTGACGATTGCACCCGATGCAGTCCAGATTCACAGGGAACAGTGACTCACCTTCAATACCAACAAAAATAAAAAATAAATAATTCAAGGGTCTCGGCCGTACCGTACGCAAGAGATTAGAGAACATTTTAGCTGGACACTGGGAATTAGCACTAAAGCAAGAAGTCAATAGGGCACATGTGGGCGCTGTAACGAATAGAGGGCGCTCTATCGAATAGGGGGCGCTCTAACCAATATCTGGGTGCAAACACTAGCAAACGCCTGTATAGTAGATCAAATTTACAATTTTCTCCCAAGTAATGCTTATAAGAGAGAATTTTACCCGTCAGAGGATCCTTGGACGACATAAAGTTCGGATTCTCTTTAGTTGTGCGGTACATAACGGGAACAGCGGCTAGGGGTGCCTGTGATGTAAAAGAAACAAAAAACTACTGTTAAACGTGGTGTGTAACGTTTGAACACATTATAAACGCTTTTTGGGACCGTTTTTATAAAAAAAAAAATTAAACGAAAAAAAGAGAGAAGTTATAAAAGGCCTGGGTTAAAAACGAGTCACTAAAACGTCTAACGCTTTTTGCAAGAGTTTATAAACGTTGTAACAAGTTGAGGGGGAGAGACGCCATATAAAAGGCCTGGGTTAAAGACGAGTTACCGAAACGTCGAACGCTTTTGCAAGAGTTTATAAACGTTGTAAAAAATTGAGGGGGGAGACGCCATTTAAAAGGCCTGGGTTAAGGACGAGACACTGAAACGTCTAATGCCAAAAAAAGTCTTCGATTTCTGGTATGGAGCTTCAACCCCCAAAAGTGGCGCCGCGCGGCTATTAGTATTTCTTTTTCTTCTTCAAATGTCGGGTGGTGACTGCAAATGGTGCCCGACTAATTTAGTGCCAAATATATGGAAGCCCAGAGAGGCCACATAGGCTTATACTCGAACGTAGCCCCATCTAAAAACACGTTAAAATTGTGCAGCAGCAGGATTCCACTCAGTCAAACCAGTGAATTTGACGGTTTTGAGACATCATCTTACACTTATTTCATTTTTTTTCAATTTTGACGACGGGCAAGGCTACGGCGCGCGCAGACCAGAAACCGGAGCTTGTTTTTTTGGCCTAACGCTTTTCGCAAGATTTTTTAAACGTTGAGGGGGAGATACGCCATATACAAGGTATGGGTTAAAGACGAGTCACTGAGACGTGCAACGCTTTTTTCAAGAGTTTATAAACGTTGTAACGCGCCGAGGGGAGGTTTAATATTTATGGGTTTCGGAACAAAGAATGAGACCACTCGGAGAAGTACTTAGTGAACGTGTCCTACTTCTGTAATGTGACATGACCTATTGAACTATGCAGAGTATGGTCGAATGAGGGCGCTATTACAGATGCTACAGGAGCTAGGAGGGACGCCATAAAAGGTCTGGGTTAAAGACGTCTGACAACGTACAAGTACAAAAGGTTGTCTGTAATCTTTCAAAAAAAAAGTTAAAAGCGGCATTTACCAAAACTAATGGCAAAACGTATAACAAAGACCGATACGGCTTCGATATCTATGAGACAGCTAATAGGATTATCCCGAATACATATGCCTATGATAAGCTATATTTAACGCAGGCGCAGTTGGAATACCATCATCTAGTCGGTTCGTCCGTCCCTCTTAGTTTTGGTTTTTTGTTTGTTTGTTTGTTTGTTTGTTTGTTTTTTAACTAAGTGTCTTTTTTCAAATAATAAGATAAGACCAATCACTTGTGGATGCAGAAGACCTCACCTTACAAACTTTGACGGCTTCTTCCATTACGGGCAGCATGGTGGCCGGGCCACGCGCGCAGTTCAGTCCCACCACGTCGGCCCCCGCCTCCGCTAGCTTGTTGAACGCGTCGACGTAGTCCACTCCGTCTACAGTAGTCGGCTTCCCGTTCACTTGGCCCTGCTGAGCCGCCATCGTTACCACGCAGGGAATATCTGCGCGTATTAAGAGGAAGATGATTAAGCTGAAATCTGCGCTTAGTCAGATACAGCTGTGGACAAGCAGAAATGTACAGCACTTATGGCTGACAATTTGGTATCTGACATGAAACAAATGCAGTTGAGTTGACGCGCTTTTGGCGAACATACTATGCTCAACCTAAAAAGAACCCCCCCCAATACTTTTTTGTCTAACTCCAAAACTACTGGACACATGTTGCTCAAACTACAACTGGTCAGTACAGAAATTCTTTAGCAATCCAGCCATTCTCTTTGTTTGGTCCAAAACAGTGATAATGTGTACAAAATTAAGCCATTTATGACAAATGGTACCGAAAAAAGATGCACCGTATGCGTGAAAGGTGAGTGTGAACCACAACTTGCACATATACAAAAGTGCAACTGTTTTCGGTATCATTTGTCATAAATTGCATAAATTCGTACACACTATCACTGTTTTCGGCCAAATAGAGAGTATGGCTGGATTGCTAGGGATTTTTTGTACAGATTAGTCGTTATGAGTTTTGAGTTAGACCAAAAAAAGTATTGGAAGGGGGGACTTTCTGTTTTGGTTTAGTGTATCTAGCTGCATAACATTTACTCAATTTAATGCTCAAGCATGCTTTTATTACACGCATGAGGTTAATTCTGGATAACTTTTAAGCTAAATTAAAAGCCAACGCACCTTTTGCGAATTCCTTGCACGCCTTCACGGCCATCAAGGCTTCCCCGAAATCACTGAAGGTTTCCCCCACAATGAAATCAGCTCCCGCTTCTACAGCCCATTCTATTTGTTCCTTTAAAAGAAGAAGAATACAGTGCACTTACAATGCAAAGATTTTTTAAAAATCAGCCAATACTTTTCCTTTTTTTTTTGTATACGTACGGTTCTCTAAGAACAAGCAATTATGCCTACACGAAAATTCGTAGTTGTAGGGGTAATTCAGAGGTGAAAATTCTCACCTTTTTTGTTTTTCACTTGACTGAAACAGCTTTAAATTAACCATAAGTGTAAGCTCTAAACAGCATCGCGGATGTTGTGCAGAAAACCCTATTACACTGATGAAATGCAAATCAATATTTGTGCTCAAATTCAGAATTGTATATGTGGGCCTATACATCGACCGTTTAAATTGGGGTGGGACGTGGAATGGAACAGATAGTGTGAAATTTGATGTAAAAATATTTGTGATTTATTTCATACGTACTTTAAAGATCTGCCAAACTTTCTCTCGATAATTGGGCACGCTGTCCACAAAGAGGTTGGTGTTGCTAATATTACCAGCCATCAGAGTACCAGTTTGGTCAGCCACCTCACGTGCCATGCGCAGTGCGTGCTTGTTGATTCGCTGCAGATCGTCCTCTCGACCAATCAGCGCCATCTTCTCACGATGCGCGTAGTACTGCAAAATGTATGTTGCGGTGAGCGGTTTGTAAACAATGTTACAACTTCAAGACACATGCAGTATCAACTGAAACTGGATTGCCAGGATTTGGTGGGTTTATGTTTTGTGGCCAAAGTTTTCTTAATTTTGGTCACGAACAACTTACCGTGAATGCCAGCACGACGTCACTTCCGGCGTGGACGAATTCCTCGTACTGTTGCCGCACTAATTCCGGATGTTCCAGAACTACTTCCGGCACATATGAGCCGGCTGTCAAATAGCCGCGTCGCTCGAACACGAAGAGATATCCCTCTGCGCAGATGACCGTCTCACCGTCGCGCAGGCGTTCCATTAAACCTTCGCGTAGAGATGATATTAATACAATTTAAGGCAGCGTCTAAGAGATTGTCGTTAATTGGCTATTTTAGTCTTAAACTGGGAAAAGCCATGAGCAAACCTTTCAGGGCGGGCTGTCGTGAATCATTGGATCCAGTGTACCTAATTGACCAAAATTAAAATTCCCTGCGAGGTCCTACCTTTACACCTTTTCTTCTGATCCATGTTGAAATCTCACTCTGATCCTCAGTGAATCTAGATCAAAATTGAAAAAAAAATATGAATAAGAGCAACCGTACCTGTAAATTTATGTCAATTATTAGCTTGCAGTCACTTCTGTTCGTACCCCCAAATTGGTAAAGCGACCCTGTTGGTACAAAAAAAGAAAAGTGGCATTTCCACATGATAGCATCGATGACTGATCAGCTGCGATGTCTACCAATCGACTGTGTAGTCATGAACACGTACAAATGTACATGCACATGCACATGTACATGTACATGCAGTATACCTGTACGTGTCGGCCTACACGTTGTATCGTATGTGTATATCACAAGTGCAGCCCCGAATTATCATTCCCAAAAATGAAGTTTTAGGTAGTTGTAGTCCATCCTTACATATCCCCAACCAAGCTGCGATATGCAATACGCAGGGCACAACAAGAGCTCGTACAAAAGGAAAAAAATAAACTTGATACACACAAAGGTTTTACAAAGTACTTCCTATAACCTTGCCGGGTCAAAAGAGCCATGCACCCCTCGGCAAACGTTTATGTATCACCTGATACGACCAAAGGTCCCTTTATAATAAGGTACCGCAGTGTGACCATTTGGCATTGATTTCCAGTCAGTGGCCGTGTCACGCACACAGCCCTGTTTGACCTCAGGGTGCACGCCTGTAAATAGACCAAAAATCCGTCCGCCGAGCTCATGAATAAAAGTTATACCCTCAAAATATTCTATATTAGAGAGTTCTGAGAACCATGGAATTGGGGAATTGAAGACATGTGGCACTGAACCTCTGGCCTGGACTTGGAGCTTCCAATTCTGAGCATTTTGGATGCAATCGGGCCCGAAAATGGCGCTATTTAGCCATGTTGTGGAGGGATTCTTTTTCAAAATGGCTACTTTTCCAGTTTGGGAAACATCATTCGTTTTAGGGGTGTTCTTATTTGGGTGAGAATATCTCAAAAAGTCAATGGTCAACCCACCCAAAATTGAAAAGAAAATGAAAGATGACATGTTGATCATCATTTTTCTGTGCAGCTTGAATACCTGTGAGAGTTTTGAGTATTTTTAAATGAATTTTGAAGTATGCACATTTAGCACTAGTGTCTATGGGAATTTTATTACAGTTGCGCACCCCTCAGTTTCTTGTCCCGAGGTCACGCAGCATGGCCCAAAAGCGTACGCGAGATTTTACGCGATTTATTCGAGACTACAGAAAAACACGAATAATGCCTGGATACATGCACTGTTTGGCCAAGATGGCTAATAAGTGAAAAGTTGAAATCGTGTGCTTTATTATGATACAAAAAATAACTGCTTTTGACAAATATAAAGTGTTGTTACGGCCTGTCAAACAAAATCATATTTTTTATCAACAAAAGCGAGGGCCGATACAGTTCAGTTAGGTGTACATTCGATTCGGGGGAAATCTGACTTGCGCCAACTGGTCAGGGCTGGATAAGAAAGAAACAATTTAAAAGAACACAACCACTGTCTCACAAAGAGACAAAACAGGATTTCATTAGCTTTTAAACTTGGTGTTTATTTAAAACATTTAAATTAAATTAAAAAGGCAATTAAATTTCACGGTGTCTTAGTCCTCATCATGGCCACAATCTCGTTCAATGCACAGCTGGGCTCGGCACATCATTCATGCAACAGCACGGCGAATCACCTCCCTGTCTTGTCTGGAATGTCAATGCACTGATCGAGGAGACTATGGGACAGTGTTATGTGCACCACGATACTTGAAGGAAAGTCCGCTAAATGATTAGTTTAGGACGCTGAGGCGATAATTCAAAAATCAAAAACAAAATAATTGGAAGCGGAAGCAAAAAGTTTCACTTCTCAGATTGGAATATCAAATTATTTTAATTGATGTCTGATTTTATATAAACAAGGCAGAATTAAATAAATGACAATCAGTTCCCACAATGGCAAGTAGTGTTATATGAAATAAACCAGTATTACATGAGCTAGGGTATAGAATTAGCGTGGTCTACAATTGTCAATTAACTTAAATCCCAGTACAAAATGCCCGTTATCTTTAACTCAATACAATCCTGTTTAATAGAATGCCCTTTTACTTTTATTCATTTAAGTTGAGTTTCACTGAAGTTCCTAACTGTCGCTTAATTTCCTTAATTTCCCTAAATTTCCTAAATTTCAAATTTCCTACATTTCCCCGAACGCCAAGCTGGGTTAATTGTGTTATGGCATCAGACTCGCCAACCTATCACACAAAATATTTTATGGAGCAAGAAACCAAAGCTAGGATTAGACATACAACAGTCACTGTAAATTACAGACATGAAACAGTCACCGTGTATGACCATGTGATTCACTCACGAAAGTTTACAACAGATCGAGATGACAAATGAATCCTAAATTACTCTTTTTCCAATCAACACATGAACTTAAGATTTGCCCAATAGTATCAGGGATAATGATGTGAGACCATGAGACACAAATCATGCGATAGATCTCAGAATATTATCATCAAAAGCTGGGTTTTGGGACACAAACTATTCTTCAATGTACTCACACATTGGCAGCTGATCCGAAAAGGACGGTCTTGCACATCACATTTCAAGATGGCAAAACACACTTTGATTAAAGCGCTACACACTGCCCCTCTCTTGATACTATTAGTTCAATAAAACAGTTACAGGATACATTCTCACATATTAATAGAATTTTACAAATAAGTGAATTCGGGATTGATGCGTCCAAACTGATTTAAATAATTACTTTTCCTCAAAGGAACTATTTGCACTACATGTGGATGAGTAGCGGTGACATGTCGCTACACGCTATAAATAGAAATGATGAAATCACGGTCTGTCGCTACACGCTATAAATAGAAATGATGAAATCACGGTCTGTCGCTACACGCTATAAATAGAAATGATGAAATCACGGTCTCACACGAAGACTACGGAGTCTCTCAAAAGGTACGGACCCATAAATCAATTTCACGAGTTATCCTTTCCTGGAGGTCATCCAGATTTGCCTACTGAAACTCTTCCAAGCAAGATTCACAAATCTGAACTGATTATGCATTCTATGACCAAAACCAAGACACTGAATGGTTGTGTTCTTTTAAGACATTTGATGAGAATTCTTGTCATGAGATATGTACCTTCCTCCCAATACAGTACCCTAACCCCAAACCCCAACCCCTAACCCCAACCCCTAACCCTAACCTACAACCGTACTCCAAGTTGGCAAAAGTAAGCTTAGAAACAGTCAAGGGCGGATCCAGAACACAATTTTTTGGGGGGGCCCAAAAAAAATTTGGTCCTCCCAAAAAGTGGGTCAAAAAAATTACGGCGTGGGGTTCGGGGCCCGCTTAAGGGCCCCGAAATTTTTTTGGATTCTAGATGCTCTGTGGTACGATCTGAGGCAATTTCTGACCACTTTAACCAATGTTTTTTGAGGAAAAGATGGTGATGTACTCATTGCCTGCCTTTATTGCGATGTCACATAAAAAATTTAAAAAATGGTTTCGTTTTGGGGGGGCCATGGCCCCCTTTGCCCCCCCCCCCCCCTGGATCCGCCCTTGGAAACAGTGTGCGCTAAGCAAGCTGCTTTGGGGAAACTATTCAAGAATTACCCAATTTAGGCGAAACCGTTTTCCTTGCGTACTCCAAGTGCGGGCCCAAACTTAATGGATCTATGAGATACATTTTTCTTAGGAACATATTTCTACTCTTAAATGTATGAAAACTACTTCACATCCTTTTTTGGTTAATTTTATTAAAAAGTGTCCTTGTTTTAAACATTTATATTTGTCCATGTTTGTTTCCGGACAACTGAGGGTGCTATTGATGTGATGTCATTTCTGGAAGACGCTGTTCAGTTTAGGGGTTTTCTTTCAAATTGTGAGCCCCAAATTCTGCTCATTGAAAACATCCGTGTGTGAAAAGACTGCTCATTGGCTTACTGCCATGTACTGAAACAACAAAGACTCAACCAAAAGATCAGAAAATTGTACAATTGCAAAATATCCAATTAAAGTTCTGGCAACTTTTGGTGCTGAAATCGCCGTTACACTTGAGATTTCTGCCTGAAATGACATCACATTTTTGCTAATGAATATGGACATTTCCATTAAGAAGGCATTAAAATACCCTTTAAAATGGCAAAACTTGGCATGGACCGGTCGACCATAATTATTTTTCATCAATACAGGACACCACTTGTACACGATGAGTTCAGTTTAGTATATTGTCAGCGTTCCTGCGGCTCACACGAAGCAAGAGAAATCTGCAAAGATAAAAAAAATATGATCTTATTTTATTCACATTCGAAGCACAAACCAACTATCGGATTGAGCAGATGTGGCATAACAATAGATATGCCACCGCCCGAAGACGAAGACAAAATTGAAAATGAAACAAAATACATCGGTTTCTTTTGCTTACCTCAAGAATTGGCGAAGACTTGCTCTGCAAGCAGGGTCTTCAGTCCTTCCGTTGGTCCACCTCCCTGCTTCCGGTTCCTTGGGATTCAGAAGGGACTCGCATCTTCGTCCAGACTGACATCTCATCTTGCACACCGTCATCTCTGCCAGAAGATTAGAAGGAACACATGTAATAAAATGTGTGCGGGACAATTATGTAGCTGTTGCTCTTCTTTTTTATTTGTTATTTTTTTAAATTATTATCATTTAAAAAATAATATAATGAATTTTCTTCTAAGATTTATCTTAATAAGGTATCGGTAACCGCAGAACCACTTAAGACAACCTAAGACATTATACGAAAGGAAAGTAACATTAATATTTGTACCTGAGAAATCAGTAATGGGTTGCCCGACAAGCAGGGTCATCGGTCATCCGTTGTTCCTCCTCCCTGCTTCCGGTTCCTCCGCATCACATGAGCACTCTATAGCTTGCTGGTCCTCCTAGTCTTAAAATAAGTGGCTGAAAATAAAAGAAGTCTTCCTAGCGGAGCTAGGTTTTGTTAGTACAATATTCAGTGGTTTCCTGGTCAAAGAAGTGACCGGTGATGTGCTATAAAAAGA